AGCCATCAGCCTGCAGGGAGAGTACAATTATGGTTTAGAGACATCAGAAAGTCCTAAAATTCCCCATTGCAAAATTCATTATTGTGCAAAAGGAAAAAACTTGCCTTGGTACTCATGTTCTATGCATATCACCAGAACTTCATAGTCACTTGCTTTTTCCTCCTGTTTTTATAGAAGCCAAAGTATTGATCTTCACTGTAAGAAAGATCCAAAGGATTTCCCATAAAGATCTCATGATAACCCATAAAGAAGTAGAGACTGGAGTTCTTGTTTGTTTCTTTTTAAATTCTGGAAATACTTGGGGAATGTTAAGCATTAGTCAATATTGGATGAGGCTGGATTTGTGTAAGGCTTTAAGTCATCTGACGGATCACATGCTTATTCACTTTTGAACATAGTGAGCTATGCTGTTATGTATGTTGGTGTACGTATTAGTTTTCCTCAACCTGGTACCATTGAAAACTCGGGGAACTATAATCTAATATTTCTGGAGATGCCAGATTGGGAGGGTTAGGGTTGCGTACATTCACTACAACTAATCATGCTCTCTGTCCAGGAAATTTCATTTCTTTGCAACAGTTGCTGCCTATGTGAGACAGTGTTAGGCCCTTTATAGAAATATCTCTGTAAGTGAAATATATCTGAGAAGGAGGACATATGTGCATATCTGCATAAATTAGGAAGTCTGCATCCTTCCATTTCTTATTCACTTCATATACTAGCTTTTTGAATCTGTTTGTCCCAATACTATGTTTTGATGCAGATTCAAGACAATATTCTATAAAATGACTGTAAACTTGTGATCTACCAAAGCAAATACAGTATGGCGGGTATGGGTTTTTTACCCATAATGTTGAGAAATTCAACATTGACCCTTACTCCCCTTTATAAACCAGAATAATCAGTCCTTCAGTGTAGGATCTTAAGGAGTTATTGACCAACCCAAATCTTAATACCAACATTTAAGTTTAATACAACTTACTGTATAAGTAATAGGTATTAAAGCGATTAGTAAAATTCCTTATTGATACACGCAATCAAAGTCCATCAGTAGAGCAAAAGAAGCCTTCCATAAGAGTAATTTTTTAAAATTACTCTTATGGAGGTTTGGTTATTTAAATCTTCTGGTGTTGATCATCTTACCTCTCCTGAGATTTAATTCAGTTGCTACTTAGTCTTTTCTAATTTTCCTCACATTTATTTAATTCACAGAGATCACCATGTTTCTTTAACTACTACTTGGCAGCTTGAAGTTCCTCCTTTTTACTTTTCCAGTTAATCTTATTTATCCACAATTTGTTTTTTAGATTTCTGACATCTTTGCCTTGCCTGTTCTGTACAATTTCTTATCTTCCATGCTTGTATTACATTTAATTTGTTTTAGAAATAATGCATATAGGTATCCTCAAGTTATGACCACAATTGAGCCCAAAATTTCTGTGAAACATTTGTTAAGTGAATTTTGCCCTCTTTTACAACCTTTCTTGCCACAGTTTTTAAGTGAATCACTGTTAACTTTTTAAGTCGTTAAGTGAATCTGGCTTCCCCATTGACTTTGTTAGTCAGAAGGTAGCAAAAGGCGAACAAATGGCTGTGGGATACTGCAACCATCATAAATATGATTCATTTGCCAGGTGTCTGGATTTTGATCACGTGACCTTGGGGATGCTGCAATGGTTATAAGTGGAAAATGGTCACAAGTCACTTTTTTCAGTGTTGTTGTAAATTTGAATGGTCACTAAATGAACTGTTGTAAGCCGACGACTACCTGTAAACAGTCAATTCATTTAGATTATTATATTAATAACAGTTGATGAATATCTAATTAAAAGAATTTAATAATTTGAAAAAATGATGCATTAATAATATAAATAAACATGAGCAGAAATAAATATAGCATGGTAATTCACAAACCTACCAGCTAATATGGCCTGCAAAATTCTTGATGTTATTCTTTTGGATAACATCAGTCAGGCCAAAAAAGAAAAAGAAAAAAAGAAGGAAGAAAGAAGAAGCAGCAAAAATAATGAGTTATTTTATATGGATTATAGATTTTGTATGGCTCAGTGGGTAACATGCTGATATAACGCACGGGTTATCAGCTATAGTTTTTATAAGAAAAACAGTATATATGTAAAATGACTAGTAGCTGGAGTTCACATTAGCAAAGGGAAACTTTATGGACTAGAAAGGAAATCTGATGCCTTGAAAAATTTAGCAGTGCTGATTATTGCCATTCCAATTATAGAATTGGCACTTAAGCAACTTGTGCCCCTTGTCTGGATTCCTGTCAGTCTGTTCTGTGCTGAGAACTATTTTTCTCTTGTTTGAGAGAATACCAGCTTTGACCACACAATGAGACAACCAAATACCATGCTTTTGTTCTGTGCTGTGGAGCTCACCTGTGACTTCAAGCTTTTTTTGCTGTACTTCATGCTTTCTCATGTAGTGATGCACATTGTATTTGAAGGTTTGGAGCCCTGTAAAAGAGTAGGGGATTTGCAATGTTTGTAAAAGCTATATCTGCAACCAGAGCAAGTGGCTGCTTGAACTGATTGCATTGCTTTTGCAGAATTGAGAATAGGAGATGTAAAGGGAAGTGCAATACCATGAATATACACTGTTATATTTTAAGTTTTACAATTGTTTCTTGGAGCAGCAGTCTAGATTTCCTGTATACAGCAACATCACATTATAAATGCATTATTGCAATTTTTATATTAGCCATCTTACTTACTTTAGTGGTAAAGTCTCAGTGCGATATATATAATATACAGTGGGGCAAAAAAGTATTTAGTCAGCCACCAATTGTGCAAGTTCTCCCACTTAAAAAGATGAGAGAGGCCTGTAATTGTCATCATAGGTAGACCTCAACTATGAGAGACAAAATGAGAAAACAAATCCAGACAATCACATTGTCTGATTTGGAAAGAATTTATTTGCAAATTATATGGAAAATAAGTATTTGGTCAATATCAAAAGTTCATCTCAATACTTTATTATATATCCTTTGTTGGCAATGACAGAGGTCAAACTTTTTCTGTAAGTCTTCACAAGGTTGGCACACACGGTTGCTGGTATGTTGGCCCATTCCTCCATGCAGATCTCCTCTAGAGCAGTGATGTTTTGGGGCTGTCGCTGGGCAACACGGACTTTCAACTCTCTCCAAAGGTTTTCTATGGGGTTGAGATCTGGAGACTGGCTAGGCCACTCCAGGACCTTGAAATGCTTCTTACGAAGCCACTCCTTCGTTGCCCGGGCGGTGTGTTTGGGATCATTGTCATGCTGAAAGACCCAGTCACGTTTCATCTTCAATGCCTTTGCTGATGGAAGGAGGTTTGCACTCAAAATCTCACGATACATGGCCCCATTCATTTTTTCCTGTACACGGATCAGTTATCCTGGTCCCTTTGCAGAGAAACAGCCCCAAAGCATGATGTTGCCACCCCCATGCTTCACAGTAAGTATGGTGTTCTTTGGATGCAACTCAGCATTCTCTCTCCTCCAAACACGACGAGTTGTGTTTCTACCCAACAGTTCTACTTTGTTTTCATCTGACCATATGACGTTCTCCCAATCCTCTTCTGGATCATCCAAATGCTCTCTAGCAAACTTCAGACGGGCCCAGACATGTACTGGCTTAAGCAGGGGGACACGTCTGGCACTGCAGGATCTGAGTCCCTGGCGGTGTAGTGTGTTACTGATGGTAGCCTTTGTTATGTTGGTCCCAGCTCTCTGCAGGTCATTCACTAGGTCCCCCCGTGTGGTTCTGGGATTTTTGCTCACCATTCTTGTGATCATTTTGACCCCACGGGGTGAGATCTTGCGTGGAGCCCCAGATCGAGGGAGATTATCAGTGGTCTTGTATGTCTTCCATTTTCTAATTATTGCTCCCACAGTTGATTTCTTCACACCAAGCTGCTTGCCTATTGCAGATTCAGTCTTCCCAGCCTGGTGCAGGTCTACAATTTTGTTTCTGGTGTCCTTCGACAGCTCTTTGGTCTTCACCATAGTGGAGTTTGGAGTGTGACTGTTTGAGGTTGTGGACAGGTGTCTTTTATACTGATAACAAGTTCAAACAGGTGCCATTAATACTGGTAATGAGTGGAGGACAGAGGAGCCTCTTAAAGAAGAAGTTACAGGTCTGTGAGAGCCAGAAATCTTGCTTGTTTGTAGGTGACCAAATACTTATTTTCCACCATAATTTGCAAATAAATTCTTTCCAAATCAGACAACGTGATTGTCTGGATTTGTTTTCTCATTTTGTCTCTCATAGTTGAGGTCTACCTATGATGATAATTATAGGCCTCTTTCATCTTTTTAAGTGGGAGAACTTGCACAATTGGTGGCTGACTAAATACTTTTTTGCCCCACTGTAGTTGCAGTAAGAGATTGTGATTATTTGTTATATATATATTGCTAAAGCTGTATGTTATACAGCTGTATGTCTTGCACAGTATTTCTCAAGTGGCAGTAACAGAGACGCTCCTGTATGATGATAGCTGTTTTTGCAGTGAGGGTATAATGTTTGCATCTTGTTTTATGGAGACTCTTTGAGACTTCCAGTGTTTCATCCCTATGTAGTGAGCGAGTAGAGTATTTGCATTTGCAGTGTGGGGCTTAATGCAGCCAAAATTCTGTGCAGTGTCTTTGGAATTCTGGCCAAAGCAATGCTGTCTTCATTGGCTCTGGCCCACAGATGCTATTGTTACAGAGAGCAGATGCCTGCTATGTTTGCACTGTCAGGGCTTGGTATAGGGAAGAGGAAGAAGAGAGAATTAGAGCCTGCAAGTTGTGCAGACCTGGTACACTACAAATTACCTGCACAAATGATGCTATCTATGTTGGCAACATGTGAGTAATGTCAACAGGGCATCTTTCGGAAACTTGACAAGTAACACAGGACCCATATATTGTATTCTTCTGATTCTTTATGCAGTGGGCAATTGAGAATTCCCTATATGAATCCTAACCTGTTGTATCATCTTTTTCTTTCACAGTGATTACATCATTAAAGAGAAGACAGTGCTGCTTCAGAAGAAGGACAACGAAGGATTTGGCTTTGTGCTAAGAGGGGCTAAGGGTGAGAGGGGAACTTAAGGTCATCCTTGGAAACTAGGGTTATCCCTAGCTATTTTGACTAATTATGCAGAGGGACATGTTTCCACAGTGATTCCCTACCAACCTAAAAGCTTAACAGCAATTTTGTATGTCTCTAGGAAGAGCCAATAAAGAATAAATTGTTCCCATTGGAACCATGTCCTTTTTCCCTAGATATTGTGGAGCTATCAGCAGATGCATCAGGATCAACAGAAATGGGTGCAAAATGTGACTGTATGAAATTTGGTTTTCTAACAAAGGTGTCCAAATTGGTGGTTGGCTAGAACCTTTCCTTTTCTCCCAGATAACATGTGCAGTTCAATGTTGGATGCTCAAAATGAGGGGACAAAGGATTCGTGCCTGTGCTCTGAGGCAGTAGAAACAGATTTGTATGCTTGACACATATTTGATTCCATTTCCTAGAAGGTTGGTATGACAGAATTCCAAAGCCAGGTTCCAAACCTATGCACTTTCTATTGGCTGTAAATTTTTCCCAACTTCCCAAGGACTCATTTCCAGATGCATCCTTTCACACCTCTCTCTCTTTACAGCGCAGACCCCAATTGAGGAGTTCACTCCCACACCTGCTTTTCCTGCTCTACAATACCTGGAATCAGTGGATGAAGGAGGTGTGGCTTGGCGAGCTGGTCTCCGCATGGGTGATTTTCTCATTGAGGTAATGGCTTGGCACAATGCTGATATTCCTCTTTGGAGTTCTTAGTACAAAATGTTAGCATTATAAGAAAATGAACTATGGATTTTCAGTAAGGTAATGTCAGAATGTGGTTGCTAGCCGATATAAAGTGTCATACAGTTTTATGCTGTATATATGTTGGGATGGACGTGAATTTTAAAAAACGCAGAAAGGTTTCCTCTGGTTAAGCTCATAAAGCATTTGGAATTGTCCCAGAATTTGGAAGAGACAACAAAATGTGGATCTCACAACAAAAGATAATTCCCCAAACAACAGATGGTTCTCATATGAAATGGATGAGGCAGTAGCACACTGGGAGAAAAGTGCCAGGATATTTGAGAAAATATGAGATTGGCTAAGCTTTGAGGGATTGGTCAAGTACGGTTGAAAGGTATGATAAAACGATACTTGAAGGTGTGGGAAATGTAATGATTTGGAGCATCACAAGGAAGGAGGTACCTCTTAGGTATGCCTCCTTTCAGTACTCAAGAAAGAAAACCCCCGACTCCATTTTCATAGAGACTTTTCATAGGTACTTTTACTGAGTATGAACTGAATGCAACCAAAGAAAAGAAAGTCTGAGACAATAGGCGCGAAAATCACATATAGAAAGCATCCTTAAAACTCTCCCCCCAATAGTCCAGTCAGGATTATCCAGTCCACATCCCCCCAAGGAATCATGTGGGATGCAGCTTCCGATGGCTCCATCCTTCTGGTATGCCAGGACGGTTGATCTTGATTGGTTATCAGCACGCCTCCCAGCTTCAGAGAAACGCTGAGGAAAACTTTCTCCAATTTACTCCACTAGCTCACTTCCCCCCTCCCAACTATCCAGACAGCTCCCCCCTCCCCCCGTTACAATGGCAGCCGTAGCAAGCAAGTAATATAAAGGTGGAGGCTGATATTACCATATGGAAATCGTATCTCAATTTCTCTCAAATTCACACCTGGCCACTTTGCATAGCTGTGTGAACGTATAGAGAAATGAAGTTATACACCTATATTTGTTTCTTCGTGACTAAATATAGACACACTGACTGGGGAATTCTGGGAGCTGAAGTCCATATATTTTAGAGTTCATAAGGTTAAGAAAAGCTGCTCTATATAAAAAAGAATAATGCATAACATTGCAGGTGCTTTCCAGCTTTCAGTACAATAGTGTTGTATGTTGACACAGATATATGGAGATATATCATTGCTTATTTGATCAGCTGTATCGGATCCCAAATTTTTAAAAGAATCCTGTCATTCTCTGGTTATTATTTCCCTGGTATGATTTTTGTTTACCTCCCTGAAAGTATACATTTGCACGGTAGCTACTAGTAAGGTGTGTTTTGTGGAGGGTTATAATGTTCATGAGGGATATTAATTAATCGGTGCATTCTGAAAATTCATGCTTTTCATTACAGCCTTCCTAAACACTCACGCATGATCCTTTCACCAACAAGAATTGATATAAAGAAAAATTATGTTGGATCAGACATAGAATTTCATTCTATCTACTTCCAGCCCTTTCTTTTCTCAAATGTACAGTCATTTGTCCTTCTCCCCTTAGGAACTAGTACTAGCGATAGACTGCTCTATAACATGGAAGTTTCAAAAGACTTCCATGAATAATATCCTTTGATGGATTTTCCTTCTGTGAATCAGCCTAAAGCTTATTTAATATAACCTAAACTAAAAGTAACTGCTGGTAGTTTTGTTAAATTAATCCTATCAATTAATTGCACATTGGGTGAAGAGGTTGCATAGAGTAATTCACTTCGTTCTGTGTCATTAGAATACATGGCAAGGAACTAATTGGAGGATGTTAGTGGTAAAGAGAAATAAGATAACAAAGGCACATGATTCAAAAATGTCAATATTGAGGTATGCTCTGCTGTCCCCAAAACTCCACACCCGCATGGATAATGTCAGTTTTTGTTTCAGGTAAATGGGCAAAATGTGGTAAAAGTTGGTCACAGGCAAGTTGTCAATATGATTCGACAAGGGGGCAACAACTTGATGGTGAAAGTTGTCATGGTAACACGGAATCCTGAGATGGAGGAGGCCATGAGGAAGAAAGGTATCATTCTGAGATTATTCTTGTTGTCTTGAGCAGGGAAAAGCGACTTAATAGGTGTGTATTATCCTGAGGGGGGTGGATTTGGAAGCAGGGGAGAGATCTGCTATGCATGCAGAAAGACTTATGACATCTTGCAATATAATCTGAATTGGGAAAGATTCTTAGCTGGAAGACCATAACTAGCCAATGGAAATAGTAGAGTAGCCCAGTGATGGGCTCCAAATTTTTTAACAACCGGTTCTCTGCCCTAATGACAGGCTGGGTGGGTGGGGATCATGTGACTGAGTGGGCATGGACAACTCTATGTCTCTTGTCTGGGTGGTACCCGTATGGGACAGGCAGGGTTGGGCAGGGAATCCAGGGGTCTCCGGTGGGGAGCACAGAATGAAAGAAAGATCCAACCTGTGTGTGTGAGAGGGAGAGAGAGACTGAGACTTGTCAAGCTAGACTGGGAAAGCTGGCTGCGAGAGGAATAGAAGCTGGGCAAGCTGGACCCAGACGCTTCCCGGGTCCCCTCATCTCAGAAGCAGCAACCTCGCTCTTCCCTCTCTGCTAGCCCCCTTCTTTGCACGGAATTGCTCAGCAGCAGAGGCGGAGAAGGAGAAGAGAGCAGCAGTGGCCGCTGGCATTGAGGGGAGAGTGCCACACAAAAATGCCACTTCCTTTTCCATTGCTGGGTGATCCCATGTGAAGAAGGGGGCTAGGAGAAAGGAGAAGAGCGTGAGGTTGCTGCTTCTGGGACAAGGAGAACCGGCACATGTCTGGGTCTGGCTTATCTGGCTTCTCTTCCTCTCACAACCAGCTTTTTGGGGCCATTTTCAGGCTACTTTTGGACTGAAAAATGGCCTGAAAATGACCCGAAAAATGGTCTTGTTTTTTATACATTTTTCGGGCCGTTATAAGGCCGTTTTTTGGGCCAATTTTGGCTGGAAAAACGGCCCGAAAAATGGGCAGGGGCGGGGCCAGCGGCTGATCCGATTTGCTGGTTCTCCAGACCGTGCAGAATCGGAACAACCGGTTCAGGCAAACAGGAAGCAGCCCACCTCTGGAATAGCCTAGAGTAGGCCACAGCAAGATACCCTGTTTTCCCCAAAATAAGACATTCCCTGATAATAAGCCCAATTGGGCTTTTGAGCACATGGCAATAAAGCCAAGCACTTATTTCAGGGTTCAGAAAAATATAAGACAGGGTCTTATTTTCAGGGAAGCATGGTAAATGTCGAATAAATTTAACAAATAAATAACAAATAGTGTTCTAACCCTTTATATGGCAAATTCCTATATATCTTTGAGATTTTCTAGATGGTGAGTGGGACTTCATTGACTTAGGAGGCAGGGATGTTTTTCTGCTAATATTAGCCACCTCAAGCATTAAGGTTAATGGTTTTACTGGGAGGGTAGGAAGGTTCTTGAAATGTTAATATGTCTTCAGAAAGGGGTAGAAAGCACTCAGGGATGGGAAACCTATGGATTTTTACTACAATACCATTATCCTTCATTATTGACTCATGTGGTTGAAGCTGCTGTAAATTCAAGTTCAATCACAACTGGAGAGCCATTGGTTAATTCATTGAATCTGCTGTAGAGCTTTTAGAGGCTTTTAAGAAATACACTGGCCCAGGGCATTTCAGATATTTAACTCTTTAGTGCCCTTGCTCCTTAGCCATGAAAGCCAGCATGGTGATCTTGGGCGAATCACTTTCTCTCAGCCCAACTCACCTCACACAGTTTTTGTTGTGGGGAAAATAGGAGGATGAAGGTAAGTTGGATATGTTCATCATCTTGAGTTATTTGTAAAAATAATAAAGGCAGGATACAAATAAATAAATAAAACATTTCTTTAGAGGCAAGCAAAAGGATTAACAAGCACTGCCTTACTGTTATTCCAGGAATTGATAGGCCTACTTTGATTTTAAGCTGCTTTTCTTTCTGACTGTAGTTTGTTAGCAAGTAGTATCTGCATTCTTTGAGAGATGAATAGACTTCATTACCTTTAAGAAGAATGCTGAGGTAAAAACATGGATTCATATTCACACGACACAGCAAACCAAGTATATGCATTCACACCACGTGCAAAACTTCTTTGCTTTAATGACTAAAGCCATGTTGTGTGAATTAAGGCCATTTGGTGGTTTTGTATTTTAATATATTGTGTAAACACCCCAAATAAATTTATTCAAGAACCAGGTTAAGTGAGCTTTGTGAACCGAGCCAAGAATTCTTTTCAAAAGAGGCAAGTGAGTTGGGGGGGAGGAGAGGGGGGAGTTAGTGGTGGGAGTTGGAGCAAGCTTGGATCATCGGGCAAAATCCCAGACCTACTGCTTCATTTTGTTACTTTAGCTGCGCCACAGCAGACAAGACGATTGCCCCCTCCAGCCATCTCCTTGCGTTCCAAATCTATGACATCGGAGTTGGAGGAAATGGGTAAGGATGCCAGTGAATTGCCATTTTCTGTACCAAAAGTGGGGGGAGATTGTCTTCTAGTGCTTTCAATCTCAAATTGATGATACATATATGTCCATTATAGGAGAGGAAGCTGCATCATATTGGAAATGCAGTATAATCTGTGAACTTGCATTCTTCTGTAACTTTTGAAAAAATAATTACGCTTTGATGTGGATGCTAATTATAATTTGCCAGAAATAGCTTTGAACTATTTTGTAGGTTTTCAGGTATGCCTTTGGTTACCTGCAAATGTTATACACAGATACACAGACACACAGACACACACACAGACACACACACACACACACACACACACACACACACACACACACACACAAACACAGAAGAAGGGAGCAGGGGAATGGAAGCTGTTGTTTTTTTCTTTCATTCATATATATATATGAATATACACATATACACACACACACATACACACCAGGAAAAACTATTAGCAAGATGGAGGACCTAGGGAAGATTCTCAGTGGACTTTCTACTGAGTTTTGGCGGGCATTCAGTCATGACATGCTATATTCAAAGTCTGGGAGAAATTTAGCATGGTTCAAAGTTCATGAGTGTTATTCCTATACATACTGTTACCACCTAAACACCTTTTCATAGAGAACAGATGCTTCAGAGCATTCAAAAGGACAGGTGTGGTAACTGAAAATGTTCACAGGAATTAATTCTGTTAAAATAACAAAAATAAAATAACAAAAATTATAGAATAGAAGTAATCTGGACAAATTAGTAAACAAGTCAATCTAGACCTCTCTAGGAGAACCTTCTTTGTCATTTGGGGAATATATTATACTATAACATCGTTTTGAGAAGATTCACACGGTTTCTTTCATACTATAGTTTTTTTATATCCCACTTAGAATTCCGCAAGGACTGTTCAAAGGCTCTCCTGGTGTAAGTGCTTAGTCAGCTTTTTCCCACATGGTATCTTCCAGATCTGCTGGACAGGCATTCAACCATTATCTGTGCAGTAGGAGTTTGTTTTGACACATTTATAGTATTAGCTGTGGAAGGGTAATTGTGGGGGCAGAGAGAGGGAGATGGAGATTGAGATTTCTTTCTTAAAAACATGTAGACTATTCTGGTAGATCTTCCACATAGAGGGTCATGCTGTGAGCAGAACAGGAGCAGTATTTTTTGCTTCTCTTTTATCACCTTCCTCTTTATTTTTGTTCATCCACTGCTGCCTGGAACTTCCAAAATCTTGGTCTGTCTGTCACAGTGGAGAAAGGTGAGCTCCTGCCCCCTTGCCCTCCAGAATTTTGCTCCAGCCATAGCAGAAATATTAAGTGAATTATACATGTACATATTACATAAGCTACTCACATACTTAGGCCTGTCACTTTAGAAACATTATTATCTTTCAATTTGATCACATCTTAGTTCCATCCATTGCCATCATTAATGTTTTTGGCTTGGGAAAAGAAACAGTCGGAAAATAGCCCACAGGAAGTTATTTTGCAGTGAGGAAATCTAGAAGTGGTAGAGAAACATTGCAAACTAATGAGAACATATGTCTAGATAGACAGTCTAATATATTTACAATTATTTAACAGTTTCACTTTTTATTTCTCATTTGATAGACTGTACAAGGTTTTTTTTTCCAACTCCCTCCCTCAAGTGGCTAAGAATGTTTCTTTTTCTGTACTTGGTTTTATTTTTAATTAAAACTAGGCTTCTGACTACAACCCTGAATAGCAAGAATCCAGACCCACATAAAGCTTCAGTTCCATCTCTCCCCCCACATATTCTTCCTACTGCCAGGAAATTTCTGTCAATACTATCAAAATGTAATGGAGCTTTCAGATCTCCTTCCCAGTTATCTGGCCTGCCCAAGTGAAGGTGCTAATTTTTTTCCCCTCTTGCTATCTCCCTCCCGTCATTCAGTCTCCCCTTGGAAGAAGAAAACAGGTGAGTGTCACACATTCCCCACCACTCCACACGCACCCTGACCCACCTGCCTCTCTCTCATTAACTCCTACACCCAACCCTGCTCTCTACACTTCCTGCCCCATGCTCTTATCCATTGCCACCACCCACTTCCATGCACACAGCTCCAGAAGCCGGTTTTCTGTGACACGTCATCACCAGTCTGCATCTCGCACTCCCACTATCCTTCCCTCCTGTCGTCTCTACAGATTACGAGCCAGCGATGGGCACTGATAAGAAGCGGACTGTCTATCAGATGGCTTTAAGTGAGTCGCAAACATACCTCAGCACAGTAACCTGTCCATGGAAAGGGCGGGGGAGGGGATATCTGTAGTGCTCTTCTTGGGGAACTCATTCTTAGAATCTGGGGTGGATTCTCACAAAAATCTTCATACAATCTGTTTACCAGCATAAGATGTACATGTCACTTTGGTATTTGGTGACCATTCATATTCAGTTATAGTATTGCAGGCCAAGGAAGGATCAGTAACTTTTTAAAGTATAAGCTATCCCTGTATGGTGCCATGCAGTGTCACAAGAGCCAAAATAATACCCTAAATCTAAAGAGATTTCGTATGAGATTTTTCAAAATAAGGCTGTCTCATAAGTTTAGCATAAGTTTTTATTTTTTAAATAATTCATTTTGAAAGTCAGTGCTTCGTAGTGCTTCGTAGTGCTGTCATGGGCACTACTAGTGCTGTCTGTTAAGGTATAATAAACACACTTCAAGGCATTATAGGTCAATGGTAGATTGAAGATGCCTGCATGGAACAAACATTTGGATGTCACAATTGCCTCTCTTGTGGTTAAAGAAGAGAATCCATAACGGCTGAAATTTCTGTATGCTTTCTTTGCCAGCACAGCTTTCATCCAGATCCCTGGAGAACAGGAAACAGTTAATTCCTCTCCCCTTCCTTCAATGATCCTTATTATAGTCTTGCTGGGAGAGCTTTACTGTTCTCTTTGCAGCTATATCAAGTGCAGTTGAAATGGTCATTAACATCTGTTTCAGTTATCCTTGCTCAAGGGAAGAAAAGAGACACCAGTTCCTAGTGATACCAATTCCATGCATGCAAGTATAATCCACTGCCCACTCTCTGATACTGCAAATAATCTTCTGGCTGAAAAAAAAGACTGAAGAATAAGATGACATGGCTGGATTCGTGTGTTGTATTAAGCCATGGTCTGTTAAATAAATCACAGTAACTAGATTCTTACTACTTGTTATGAATTGAGGCTACCTTTGACTTTGGAGTAGATTGCCTAAGAGTTAACATGCCGAAAAAGCAGGTCAATTCAGGTCACAGCCTAAATTTGATTTATTACTAGCTTAGATGCCCATATGGACTGTAATAATGCTAGAGACTAAGCACCTTTTGGTTCAGTCCATGGAGTTAAGAACTGTTTGGAGCTCTATTTCCCAGAGATTGCAGTATTAAATTCTCTGTACAAAAATGCAGCCCAAAATATCTGAACCCCAATGGCAACACCTACGCCACCACTGTAAGCAGTCCCCTGCATTGCTTGCCATTTCCCAAGAACAAGTTTGAAATACAACAATGGGAACCAAGCAGGGAGCTTTCCTTGATATGGCAACACTACAAACGCATTTGAGAACTCTAGGTAAAAATGCACATTTTTTTCAAAGATTCTCAGAGAGAACTGGGGGTGGGGGGATAAAAAATACCATAATTAGAAGGTGGGTTGACAGGAAATGTGTTCATCACTGGAGCTTTCTAGAACACAGTATTTTGTATAGGAAGCACAATTCTTTCTTGTATAAACACTTTTCAATATGGAAGCCTTGGCAAGATGTTATAATGTTTGGCCATGTTTTAGAGCTTTTTTCATCAGATATGTCAGTTGTGCCCATGTAATATCTGTCATCCTGTACTAGGAATATTTATGGTCTATTTTATCTGTTCATTTGGACTACAAACTAGATTTCTAATACTGTAATCCTTTTCATTTATACCAGGGATGGGTGGCATGTTGGAGGCCACACCATTTTCCCATTAACATTTCAGGAACCAAAAAGGTGAATGAGTCTGGGACACTTCTCACCCACATCTTCTACCTTAAATGTCCTTTAGTGTTCTCTTTCATTCTCGTACATCCATTCTGTTGTATGCTTTTGTACATACAATGTGGGATTGCTGAAGAGAACAGAAAGCTTTTAACCTGATCCTCCTGCTTCCTTCCTTCACTTCCCAGCCATAGGATCACCATGTTCTCTACTGCTAATAGCTGTTAACAAATAGCTATTTTTCCTGCAAGTATTCAGAGGTGAATGCAAATAGTCTTCTTCCATGAATCCATGAGGGCTCCAGGAAGCAGTGATTTGTTCCTCTGCTACCTTCCTGACAGCAGATCATTTAGCAAAGGAATGTGAGTAGAGCTCCATGCTAGGAGCCACTCATAGCCCTACTTTTACTAAACAATGGTTGAGACAAACAGCACTGTTTGTTTGGCCCCTAATTTAAATTTAGCCAGATTTTTTTAAACTTATCCAGATCTTGAATATGTAACTTTTTCCTCCAACATTTAAAATATATCAATAGGACTTGGGGGTTCTAATAATTATAAATACTAACAGATCACATGGGAGTGAAGTCTGCTTACTTCAGCATAGATTTAAATTTTTAGACAGAGAAAAGGAACTAAAGTTCCTTTTAGATTCTGTTAAGTAGCAGCTTAAAAAAGGAGGAATGATGATTAAAGCATTGGTTATAATGTTGTCCTCTTTTATGATGACTTTCCTCTTTTTTCCTCACTCTTTTTTGCAGATAAATTAGATGAGATTCTGGCAGCAGCTCAACAGACAATTAGTGTTGGGGATGGGTGTGGAAGTGGAGGGCTTCCTTCCTTGGGGAAGACACGGGGCACTACGAAGAATTATTTCTCCTCTGAGGTAAGATGGACACTCAAGTAGTACATTGTGGAGGATACTGGGTTTTCAGTAGGCCGTGAGGTATTTTCCATTGGAGGGTGGGGGTGGAAATGGTTACACACATTTTGAAAATGGTTCAGAGGGTTACTTTATATTTAAGCAGCACATCTTTAATATAATTTAATGCAGCAGACTCTTAGGTTTGTGTAGAAGCTGAAAAAAACTGTGCATGCTTAAAATAAATAGGAGAAAGTCATTTGTACATGTGAAGGCCAAAGCAGTCCTGAATCATATTTCAAGCATTTAATTATCTGCTGCCTGTCTTACTCAAGAACATGGACCTAAAGAAGATAAGATCTTGTGTTGTGTGGGGTTTTTTTTTATTGCTTTGAAATTCTGCTATGATGAATGAAAGAAATAGAGTTAAGACATATTACTATTAATGCAGTTGCTAATATTTTTCTTTTCTTCAGAGCAAAGGTTTAAACTTCAAATCAAATACTTTTGCTTTTTTAAGCATATTTTTAATATAACATAGACAACAGCCCTGTGAGATTTGAGGGGACTGTCAGTTTGCTCCTTAGGCATTTTTTCTCCAATACTCACACTTTTATTTGGCAGCACTACCACCTACTACTTCCTGTTCTGCTGCTCCTGCAGTTCCTTTTCTACCATGACTTGTCCCCTTTCTTCTCCTTTTGTCAATATCTTGATTAAAAATCAAGAGCAGAAGGCGTGCACCATGTTAAAAAATATATGTTCAACTTGTAAGCTCCAGGCACTGAACCATCAAGTAATATCTCTTGAGGGCACTCAACCAAAGGAGGTGTTGTGTGACAACAGGGCAGGCCTGTGATTTCTCAAGTAGCCTTCTTAGGTATGTACCCATAAAAATTAGTTCAGCTTGCTGACTCTTATTTTGAGACATGTTTTCTATAAAATGTTTTTACAAGAAACTGTTCTCTTCTTTCTGAGCATTGAGACTTATATATAAATGCCTAAGTACATAGATATGCATACATTGACATTATGCAGCAAATCAGTGTCAAGTCTTAGCGACCATATAGATAATTTTTTTCTCCATAACAATGTGCCTCCAACCTGGTTTTTTATGTCTTCCAAAAATGCATCCATTTCCACTGTTATTATTCCATCCACCTTGCTGCTGGCTATCTACTTCTTTTCTTTCCTTCCATCTTTCCCAGCATTAAAGCCTTCTCCAGGGAACTAGAACTTTACATAATATGTTTGAAATAGAATGATTTGAGCCTGGTCGTTTGTGCCTCGAGTGAGAATACTGGGTTAATTTGCTTGATGATCTTTTTTGTCTTGACTTTTTGGTAGTCCATAGTGTTCTCTCCAGTAGCAAATTTTATTTTGAGGAATTCTTTATTTTGCAAACACTATGATGTCATTGGGTCTCTGAAAAGGTATTTGGGATCTATGCTGGGTTGAAGAAACCTTGGCTAGACTCCATTGAACATAGAATTTGGTAGAATGTCAGGGTTTGTTGCTTCGTCTTAAAGAACAGTTTATTTCTGACATGGATTACTTCGGATGTTGAATTGACTATAATTGGAAAGGTGTGCGACAAATTGCTGTTAGAGAAAGCCAGAGGTTATGTGTCAGTCCATGTTGTGCAATATCTGCAAGAACAAAAGGGTGGGAGGAAGCATTGAAAGGGATAGTGCTCATTGTTTTTAATTGTTCAAGTTCAAAATCTTGTTCATCTGAAAGTATTTCAACTTGGGGCTCCTGTTAGCCATCCAGATTATGCCAAAAAGGTACCAAAATCCTCTTTAATTTTAGAAAGATTATTTGGTACTGAAGATAATCCAGCTGTATTCATGAGGAAGTTGTGAGGTCTAGTTCACTTCTCCAAATTAGAATCTCTTTTAGATGGAAGATTGACTATTTCACATACACACACACACACAGAGAGAGAGAGAGAGCTTGAATTCAGTAACTGTTAGTATCAGTAACTATAACTATCTTTGTTGTAGAGAAACTGAGTTCAAATCTCTGTTCAATCACAAAATGTATTTGGTGACTCTGGATCTCTGTTACTCACATTCTTTTGGTCAAGTCTGCTTCAACAACCTGCTATAAAAATAAGAGAGAAGAAGGAGAACCATATACAAAACTCTTGACATCTTGGAAAGGATGTTATAAATATGTAAATTAGTTGTTAATGTTAGCAGTAAGCAATGCTAATAAAGTAAGAATCGTTGACATATTATTTGGAAGCATTTATTGCAATTATTTTATATTGGGGATGTGTAAGAAAACATTGCACTATATTCATTCTCCTAATGACAGCACTCTGAAGATTTTAGCCATTTTTTTGTCCAAACAGGCTTTACTACTCTTCTTTTCTTGTTTTTTGAGACTGACATCCAGGGAGAGGCAAGGATCTGCAACACTGGCCAACTGAATTCAATACTAGTAAAAGAAATTATGAGCATGGTATATCCTAATTCCTGTAAATATTTTATCATTTCACCTTACCAGTTCTTGGCTTTCTTTTTCTCTTGGTTTTTTTTTTTTCTTTTCTTTCAGCCCAGTTTTGAACAACACCGACTTGGTCAGGCCAGTTATGAGCGTCCATCATACTTACCAAGTAGCCATCCTCCTGGCATGATGCTTCGCCAGAAATCTATTGGTGAGATTGGGTCTATAGGATGTGAAATAGGAACTGCATTTGAGCCTGGAAAAGAAATTTAAGAAGACCTCTAAGGTCTTTTCGCCTGCCACAGACACACTGGTTTTTCTCCCTTTCTTATTTGTCTGATTTAACAGTATTTCATCTGCTGCCAATTTCCTTGGGGGGAGGGGGGGTTAATAGCCAGAGTCCTCTCAGTGTGGAGGACAGATTGCCTGACATTCTTCCCCTTGTAATGAGTGGGCTTATTTGTACTGAGCTGTGTGCTTATTAGGCCTTGCAGGAACCTAGAACTCAGGAAATCAGTCTCTTCCTAAAGGTTTGGTGTCCATGGAGCCCTCTCAGACAGAAGCTAGACCATATGACACTGGTTTTGATAATGAAAGAAATCTGTGGTCACTGGCCTTGCAGGAACAGGGCTTTCTAGAAAATCAGCAGCTCCAACTTCATTAAATTAGTAGTCATTTTCCTCAGAAACACTGATATCCCTACAGAAGAGGAGAAAAGGAGATTTTTTTTTTCTTTGTACGGGTCTATGGATTCATGCACAGGTGTACATAGATAATGCGTATGTGTAAGTTGTGCATATGTTTGACGGAGACCCATCAACCAATTCCCATCTGTGGCCATAGTGAACCAAAAAATATGCTGCTGCTCCAGTTCCATGAAGCATGGCCATTTATCCATGAAACAGCAATTTTCACAGAATAGTCTTAACAACGTGAAGCATTTATCATGTGTGTTGGTGTAAAAAACTCTTTTATGGCTTGGGGACAATAACAAAGTAAAAGAAAACATCCCTATGGGATTAGGTTATAATAAATATGAAATATGCTAACATCATGTCCAAATGAATAAGGAAGAGCTGAGAAAGGAGGGAAGAAATAATCTCTGCTAGCTGGATGCAGTGATGGTAACCTTCCTTCCCTCCACAGGAGCAGCTGAGGACGAGAAGCCCTACCTCGCTCCCCCTGTTATGAAATTTAGCCGCAGCCTTTCGGTTCCTGGTTCCGAAGACATTCCCCCACCTCCAACCACCTCCCCTCCTGATCCACCATACAGCAGTACATCACCCTCTGCATCTGGCCGAGTTACTCCCTCAGCCCGTTCAACCTTCAATCCCAGCACTGAGGCCAAGCTGTACTCCACTTCTCTTCATCAGGAGCCATCATATGAGCCACCTGCTCGTGTCCGTGACAAAATGTCTCTTTACCGCCAAGAGTCTGAGCAAGGAGCTGAAGGGTCCACAGCACGTGGATGGAGGGGCCATACCCCTGACCTGCGATATTATAATTTGCCCCCTCGGGCAACCAGCACCGCCATGTATGTTCCCACTAAGCCCATGCGCCGCAAAGGTCCATTGGTCAAGCAGACCAAAGTGGAGGATGAGCAGCGGCAGCAGCAGGGTACCCCCTCTTCCCAGATGCAAGCATCGTCTTTACCGTCTCAGTCATCCACACAATCTGAAAAAAGCTCCATCCCAATACCCACCATCATAATTAAAGCTCCTTCAACCAGCAGTAGTGGGCGTAGTAGCCAGGGAAGCAGCATGGAGGCAGAGACCCAACCAGAGCCTGTGGTGCCTGTCCCATCACTCCAGCTGCATAACAGCATGGATTTCACCAGTCAGTTTGGGGCTGCCCTAGTTGGGGCAGCCCGACGAGACCGTGAATGGTATAGTGAGGCTCGCCGCAAGTCTGCCCTCTTTCTCTCCACTGAGCAACCAGATGACGAGTCCCAGCAGATGCCTGTTCCCCGTCTCCGTCATTCCAAATCCATTGACGAAGGTATGTTTTCCAGTGAGCCATACATTCAGCTAAACATGGCTTCTGGCTTTGGTAGTAGCAGTGGTGGTGGGAGCAGCCCTAGTTATCTTCAGTCTCGCAGCGCTAAAACATACGGAGCCAGCACTACCAGTGCCTTCACTTCTGTGTGTTCAAGTTTCTTGCCACAACTCCAGCCCCATTCAACTCCTCTCATTCACCCACTGACTGGCAAGATTTTAGATCCTGGATCCCCCTTGGGACTTGCATTAGTCGCACGTGAGCGGGCTTTAAAGGAGTCCCAGTCTCAACAAGAGAGCCGAGAAGAGAGGCACTCACGCCCATCCTCTCCCCGGTTTGGGGAGGCCCCTAAAACTCCTGAGTCTCCCAGCAGTTCCATCTTGCGCCTCTGGGAGACATCAGAGCAGCAGACTCATCACCAACTGCCTGCATCATCCCGGAAGGAGCAAGAGGGCCACCAACCTGAGCATCAGCCCCCTCCCATCTCAGCTAGAGCAACTCCTTGGGAAAAGCGGCCTGAAGAAGGAGAGAAGCTGGAGCTACATGTGCGTTTTGTGGAGAACTGCCGCCCAACAGAGGAGGAAGAGGAGGAGGAGGAGAGCAGCCAGGAGAGTGGGAAAGTTGAAGTGGCCGCTCCCCCAATGGAGCGAGCGACAGAAGAGAATGGACTCCCGCTGTTGGTGCTGCCCCCACCTGCCCCTTCCATTGATGTGGATGATGAATTTGTCTTTTCAGAGCCACTTCCTCCACCCATCGAGTTCTCCAATAGCTTTGATAAACCTGAATCTCCCCCCAAAGCTGCTAGTGAACTGCCCCCAGCAGTACCCCCTCCGGCCACTCCATCTGCCCCTGCCACTTTAGATTCTACAGCATCTAGCCTGACCTCCTATGACAGTGAGGTGGCCACCTTGACCCAAGCTGGTACACCAGAAACCAAGGAATCTCCTCATGTCAACTTTTCTTCCGTTGTCTCATCCATTGCCATCCCAGCAGCAGAAGCACCTGAAGCAGTAACCGACTCGGGAATTGAAGAGGTGGACAGTCGAAGTAGCAGTGATCATCACTTAGAGACTATCAGCAGCGTCTCAACGCTGTCCAGCATGTCTGGGGAGGGCACAGAACTCTTGGACACTTACATCACCTACTTGGACGGTCAGGCTTTTGGGGGGAGCAGCAGCAGTGGTGGTGGAGTAGGTGGTGGCAGTGGTGGCGGCAGCATAGACAAGAGTCCACTGCAGACCAAACTACGCTCCCGGCCATTTCCAGGCCGCTTGCCGGTGGCTACCCCTACCAGCTCCACCATCTCAGTTTCGGCATGTACTGAAAACATGTTTGCCCTCACACCTGCTCCTCCGTACCACCAGCAGCCAGCAACTGTTGAACCTGGCAAAGAGCTGCCGCAGAAATCTCCACTGCCATGGGAAGAGCCTAAGGCATCGGCCATGTCCACCGTGAAAGCTAGCATCATTAGTGAGCTGAGTACCAAACTGCAGCAGATGGGCGGGGTGTCGTGGTCACGACCACCTGATGCTGTGGCTCCCTTTGGTTCCGAGAGACCCAGCTCCCTGCAGAGGCAAAGGTATTAGTCGACTGGAGCAGGAGGAGGAGGAGGAGGAACAGGAAGCAGGAAGCCAGCCCCGTGCATGCTGCATCTCGTGTTTCAGTTGGGTTTGTCTCCTTTTCTCATTCTCCCGTCAGTGCTTGCTTGGTTATGATTTCTGTTGTTTTCTGTTTGCTTTTTTTGACTACCATTACATCATTTGATATGCTGGCAGCACAAGGCAAGGTTGTGCCACATGCAAAGCAATTCATACTTCATGTCCAAATAGCAGTGCGTACTTATGGTACCTTGTACATACGTTTGCTGTACAACTCTGGCTTACAGCTATGTGCACATGCTGAACAATTTGTACATTCTTCTGATTGCTCTTATGCACAGGCAGTATAGATTTCGAGTTCACATGGCCATTCTGTGCACAATCAAGCACTCATGTCCAAAATGGCTTGATTACAAATGCATGCATGTATTTATAAATTCCCCCTATATGTATGTGTTCACAGCTTTTTTATTGATATGTATGTGTTCATAGCTTTTTATTGTCTGCACATAGACATATTTAGGTAAAGGTGTCTTTTGACTGACAGTAATCATGGCTTTCACCCAAATGTTAGGTTTTGGAATTTGCAATGTGCTAACAATCTACAGTTAATGAAGACACAAACTCTAAGGCATACTCTTAAAAAAAAACCCTAGCTGTGTGGCATAAAAAAACCTCTAGATAAGAACAGATGTGCCAGGAATCTTGCAGTTAAGTAGAAATCATTTTGTATGTGTATACTTTTCAAAAGGTACAATTAATTCCATGGTATAGTCATTTATATTAGTGAAAGGAAGAAACTTCTTATGCCGGTAGTCCTTGACTTACAATTGTAATTGAGCCGGGAATTACAGTCATAAATTGTGCCAGTGGTTAAGCGGGTAATCACTTGATCAACCTGATTCTATGACTTTTTTTTTTTTTTTGCAGCAATCACAAAACAAATGTGATTGTTAAGCAAACCCATTGTTCACAATGGGCATTTTTTGCCAGAAATAAATGCTGGATTGTGGCAACAACAACAACAACAACAACAACAACAAAAACATAAAATGCAATCCTATGACCATTAGATGCTACAAACGGCTGTAAATGCAGGCCACTTGTCAAGTGCCCAAAATGCCATCAAGTGCGGGGTGGACATCAGAACTTAACACTGGATCGTAAATACTTTTTTTGGGGGGGGGTCCGTCATAATTTCAAACAGTTGCTAAGTGAGGACTACCTGTAACTCCTTTTGGAGATTTCTTGTGAAAGTCATTTTGTACAGAAGATATAAATGGAAAACATATTTGGGATTCTCATTTTAAAGGCAGCCCCTTGTGCCACCATAACTTTATGATAATGTACAAAGCCTTTTTTTCCAAATTCCTGGCTTCTTGAAAGACTGGTCAGGTATGCCAGAACTTGCAGCTTCTTGAGCACCAAAAGTGAAAGTAATCCATTGTCTCACAAATTACCTCTGTTTTCTGCGTATGTGTAACTTAGACAACATATTGCAATCCTAATCAGTTTTATGCATAGCTGCATTAGTTGTAATGAATCAGAAGATATGTGGGCTGTGTGCTACAAACAAATATTTGCATGAATGTGTCACTAGCGGCAGTGTTTCCCACTTGGAGGTGAAAGTCTTTATCAGAAGATAATTTCCAGTGTAGTGGTTTTCACATTTGTTTGGGAGGAATATTAACTTGTAAAAACAGAAATCTATCTAGCTCAGCTGGTGGAATGGAGTTCAATTAAGTTGTGAACTTCAAGTTCAACTCCCAAATTTCTGGAAGTCCACCTATCTTAAAGTTGCCAAGATTGGGAAATACTGTTAGATAGGATATGAGGATACTATCTCTCCCCACTTCTGTTCCCCAGTAATCGATATTTAGTGCTGTTTAGCCAGTGTGACCCCTAGCCTTTTCTAACCTTATATTTTGGGGATTTGCCTAATACCCTTTAAGGCAGTCCAAATAGGTATATTTTGTTCTAATGGAGTTTCACAAGTTAACTGAACTCCATTCCAACATATGTGCCTGCCGAATCCTCATGTGCTTGCCATGAAACTTGCATTGCAAAGGATTGGACCACGTTATAAAGTGTACTTCCATCAATTCCAGGTCAGAAACGGGCCAAGTATTGCCATCAGACCCAACTCAGTGTTTCATGCAAGATATTTTACTTTCGCCTTCCTCTTTACTTGGACTGCTAAAATCAGCCCAATAATTCACAGCGAAGGGTGGAGGAGAAGAGAGGTACTTCTGTAGTCTCAGTCAGCCTAACAGCTGGGGGAGCCAAAGAGGGGGATTGTATGGTGCATAAAGACAGAAAGAAAAGTTCTTAACCATATAAAATGGATTTTAGGAAAAAACATTTTTTTAAAAAAAATATCAATTCTTTATTCTGAACTGAAGCTAAAGCTTAGGGGAAGACGAATAAGGTGCAAGCCAGCATAACAGATGTTTCAGTTGAAGGATTCCTAGGAAGAAAGGTAGGGCCCAGTCTGGTGGTACCTGATATATTGCCTCCAACTTCCAGGGAAGGATGATAAGTTATTGTCCTAGACTGGTAGAAGATAGCAGGCTTTTGTTCTTCCCTACACAGCCTCAGGGTCATAAATCCTAATGCATTTTGGAAGGTCAAGTTCTTCACCTTTTTGGTTTTTTTAGAAAAGAAATGGGTAATGGAAGAGATCCAGTAACCAATTTTTCTATATAGACGTATACTTGCTGATTATGGGCTTATCCTTAAATCTTTGTTCTTTCGTATCATGGAATTTCCCAGCCCTAATTCATCTCTTGTTATTAAAGCTGCTTGTGACTTTTTCTGCTTGTTTAAAGTAGATGCTGTTATGCTGTAGGCCAGTGTTTCTCAGCTATGTCAGCTTTCAATATGTGGACTTAAACTTCCAGGATTCCCTGGGTAATGTAGCTGGCTGGAGAATTCTGAGAGTTGGAAGTCCACATATTGGAAAGGCAATAGTTGAGAAACACTGCTGTAGATACTACATGCATCCATAGACCTATCAACACACATGATTGATGTGGACACTGGGGATCTGTAGCATCTCTCCTTTCCATTCAACACAATTATATCATAAAATCTCATTTGCTCCATTATTTCATTCATCCACAATCACATCAGTGGTGGGAAAATACAATGAAATTCCTCCAATGCCATACTATTTCCCGTATCACAGTTGAGGCATGCTTGGTATGAGTTTCTTCCCTCAGCTAATTCCTTTTCCATTATAATGGTATTCTTTAATCCATCAAGGACTATAAAGCACTTATTCCAGTAATATAGGATCATGTTACATTTTCTTTGCAGCAGTGCTCTGTATCTGCCACTGATTCCAGATTTTCCCACAGATTTCTCCCAAGTTTAGCATCAAGGAAGGGTTTCTTCATAATGGCACCCTTCAGGTGTGTTGGAATTTGATTCCTAGAATTCCTAACCAGTTAACAGAGATTTCTTCAGTAGTAATTCCAACATTGGAACTGAGTGCCCCATCTTTGAGATAATATTTTTAAAAATATTAATATTAATGGATCTATTACTGTTATTGAATATTAATGCGTTTAAACATTATGTCTACTATAACCTGAAATCTACCTCAGAGAAATATGTTAGTAAAAGATCATAGAAGTAAATTAATTGGAAGGTCCTGCTAGACTAAGGATTCCTAGCCTCTTCCAACAGGGAACATGGTAGATGATAACCATCTCACCTTCCTTGTCTTCTTTCCCTGCAGGCTCCCAGATGAGACATCCCCATCACTGATTTCCTCCAAGCCTGTAAGCAGTCTTTTCCACAACTGGCCTAAGTCCCCCCAGGGCAAGCATCCCAAAAGTGTGGACTTTGACATCCGTCCTGCCCTGCGACGGGCCCCGAGTCCAGCTGCCCTGCCCAGTGAGCACAAGATTAGCCCCACCCCAAGGCCTTCCTCTCTTCCCATCCTGCCTTCTGTACCCATCTATACTGGCGTCTTTGACCTCCGTGGTTCACCCACTTCTGGGGGTGAACATCCCTTCCCTAGCTTCCCTTCAGGCAGCCGTTCTCTGTCCCCAACCCACTTCCTGCCTCCAGCCACGGACAAGCCGTTTGGCTCCAAGCCGTTGCCTTTCTGGACTAAATACGATGTGGCTGACTGGCTGGAGTACCTGAAGCTGGGGGAACACCGCGATCGATTCCTGGACAACGAAATCGATGGATCTCATCTGCCTTCCCTCACTAAGGAAGATTTCATTGACCTGGGCGTGACGCGAGTTGGGCATCGCATGAACATCGCCCGTGCCCTCAAGTTCTTTCTGGAGAGGTGATGGGGGAAATTGCCCTGCCCCGGGGTGCCTCTTGCCTGAATGTACAATGGACCTCCACCATGGGGAGAACAAAGAGGTGGAGGGATTGCAGCTGCGGGGCCGGGCACAGGGAAAGCGGTAAAGAGAGACCCTGTGGGGGTGAGGGTAGAGTGGGGGATCTTGGAGAAGCTCACCAAAGCCTGCCTGGGCACCCTCATGGGTGTGCACTTTTCTCTGTTGCGTTGCCATGTAGCAATCTCTCCATTTCATATATCCAGCCCAACAGCATTGACATGAGTGTATGAACCCCTAACCTGTGTATCATCACTTCCCAGGTGTGTATGTGTGTGTTTATAGTTGTACACATACACTTGCTCTTCATTCTCCATCAGCATAGCCACCAGCTTTGCTAATCAGATGGCTGGTACTAGCCATCCCGTAGTGCAACACCTTCTACCTGCACCCATCCGTCATCCTTTCTGTTATTGCTGATGGCTCTTTCGTAGCAACTGCTATTTGCACATCAATTCATCCAGCCATGTAACAGCTTGCTCTGTACATCTCCACAATTACCAGGATTGTTAAGTACTCTGCCGTTAAAAAGGGGGGAGGAAGACCTACGAGAAAATGAAATTTGCTTATATTTCTTTACTTTACAAAACATTCTCTGGGGAGGACCTCAGATCATGCAAGTGCCATACTTAACTTGGTAGGAAGATTGGATTCCTCCTTCTCCCGATAATTACCTGTGAATTGGAATGGGCTCTTCATATTAGCTAAAAAGAATTTCTAGAAATAGCTATTGAAAAGCATGGGTGCCTTGGAAGATAAGCCATCACTTGTGTTCATCAGGTGAGCTTCATCCTTATTAGTGATACCTAAATTGGGCTTTTCTCTCTTTTCGCCTCTGTTCAGTTATCTCATCGCTTTATTTCCATTTGCTTTTGTTCCTACTTCTCTCTTTTCACTTTTTTCTGGTTCAGTTATCTCTTCCTCTTTTGCCTTCACCATCAAGTTTATTCTTATCCTCTTCTGTGTTACTTTTATTTTGGCTGTTTCTGCTGGAAGAAGGAAAGGGAATCTGTGTTTCTGTGTGAAAATAGTTGGTTTATGCAAATTGAGTGTAAGTTAACAGACAGTGTGGTGTCCTGTGCTGGCCATTTTGGGGATGTGGCTTCTGTAGATATTTATATAATTTCTACCTTCATACATGCATATGCAAATGTAAATTTGTCATATGCAAGCATTTATTGATGGATAGGGAGAACAGCCTAGATTGACAAGGGGAAGGTGGGCATTGCACAGGATTTTCTCTCTCCCTCTCCTTACCTGTCTACCTAGCTACCTTTTGTCCAGAAAGGATATGTTAAATTTAATGTCTTCTTTTTTGATAAATACTATAATTATTAACTGCTAGAAACTTGCTTTCTGAATTTTCAGTGGAAATAGAGAATGGATGCAGGATTATAAGCCTTAATAGCAACACCTAGCTGACTTTAGAGTAGGAAGATAAGCCACATTGGTATATAGATGGGGCTCCTTCAGGAGATATCAAGATAGTAGGCTACATTGGGACATCACCCATCCCAGAAGAAAGCAATTTCACAATGCTACTGTTGCCAAGAAAATGGCATAGACAATGTCCATGAAGTCACCAAGAACCAAGTTTGACTTTAAAAAAGATGATATACTTGTTCAAAGTGGGTTCATTGCTGTGACTCTAATCCAGGCCTGTCAAACTGGCAACCTGCGGGCCATATCTGGCCCGCGCAGGCCATGCCCACCCCTGCTCCTCAAAGGCAAAAAACATCACAATACGGCCCGCAACGCAATCAGGTTTTGACACCCCTGTGTCTGATCCATGGCATGTCACACAGTTCTGCCTCCTGTTGCATATGACCTTTTTAGGAAGACAGGAAACATTTTTGATAGTACTAAACCCAGGCATAACAATATAGCTGTTGTCTGCTGGGCATGCATTGTCTATAAATCAAGGCTATCACCGTGTTGACAAAAGAAAGTGGGTTTGTCCTTTTTGAGAGGCTAAATCAGTACTGATGAAATTCTGTAGCTAGGATTGGTTAGAATTGACAGCATTGCAGGGATTGATGCCAGCATTATTGTGAAGGAAGGATCTGAGCAACACTAGTGCATGGGGTAGTCCCTATGATCCTCCTGTCTCAAGTTATTTCAGTAGGGTAGGAAAAGCAGTCAGGAAAAGGCACATGTTAATGTTCCACAAACGGGGCCATTTGCAAGACACTTCAAATGGGTGCGGTGGCCCTTTGTGTTCTGATCCTGTTGGGGAGAGATTGAATGTGCTGATCCTGTGAAAAAGTTTGTGGGTAAAAGCTACATCAAAAGAAATGGCACATTGCTCTGCTAATGTGGCCAAAACCTTTGAAATTATTTTTTACTGTAATAATTGATTCCGATTAGACAACCAATTTAAGGAATGGATTGTGCTTAGCTTAATCCTATAGTTGGGCCGTGGAAGGTGGGCTGGTTCCCATAAAATGTTGTGCATTTAAATGACCTACATGTAGACCAAGCTATGTTTCAGCTGAGGGACAGTATCCTAGACGTACAGTATAAAGATGGAATATAGTCTGCCTTTCAAGCCATTCTTGATGTTTGGTGCGGTGATGACTATTCAGAGGCGCTGGCTTGCCTATAATAATCTCAGACACTACCAGTCACTTCCTGTTAATATGATTAATACTTTTCACAAAGACCACTTGAATCTCAAGTCTTTATCCATAGGAAACTTGATTGTATTTGATGCTTGTGTGTTGTAGGGCTCATTAATGGACAAATCTAGGACACTCAGTACATAATATTGAACTAAATAAATGGCTCTTCCTTGCCCCATCTCTTTCTATCACAGAGTACACACAATCCTGACCATAGCAGTGTGCAAATACTGTTCCTTCATATATCTTGTGGTTTGGTCCATGCATGTTGTACTTCCATGCTCTTGTGCTCCTGCTCCACTCCTTGCATTCTCAGGTTCAGCAACAGGCTTCAAATTACTTTCATTTCAAAATCGCTTCCATTTGCACATGACTCATGTTTCTGTACTTCCAAATACGGAGATGTGCATTTGAGGATTTCCCTAACAAAGTTTGAAGGGGAACATCTCTTATGCTCTTCTACCTATGGAGTATCTGTGGCAACATTCTAGCTCCAGATTGTAGCAAAGACAAAAGAAGCTGGAAAGGGACAGAATGTAGGATAGGGATAAATTCTCCCACTCTGGTCTCCTTCCGTATTATCATGTTTTTCCTACTACCAGCCCAAACTTGGGAGTGGGAGTGGGGCGGGAATCTTAGATATTGACCACATATGTGCTATGGTGGGAATATCCCTTCCCCCTCCCATATGCTGAGCTGCCAAAGAAAAAGACTCCAATGTGTGGGGGGAGAGGAGCTGCTCCATAACTGTCGTCGTCCCCCCTCCATACACAGAGGGCCAATGCCAGGACCCAGCAATGGGCAGCTTTTTTGAAATATATGGTTCAGATAAAGGGAGTTCTTGCTCCTGCTCTTTGCTGGGATCCTTAGTAGGTTGCTTAGTGGGAGCAGGTGTACCTCTTCACTTGTTTATCTTCCCAATCTTTATACCAGATATTGTGAGCTATGGAGAAGTCTGCAGGACTCATTCCATGGCTGTAGGCCTTGTGGCGGCCCCATTTCAGCACCTCACTAATGCTGTGACTCTACCACTAGCTGCCACCACCACTCTGTCACATCTGGGCCGTGTAGCTGGCCTATTCTTGCTCCTTAAAAACTATTTTTGTGTCAGACAGCAAAGTCCTCTTTCCACAATCATTAATAACATGGCGTAGCCACGCCATATTTGTATAAGGTGGATCTTGGCACATACATACCCATTTCTATCATGTTGGGTAACTTGCACATCTGACACCTGTTGAGACCAGCAGTGTACCCTTTTCTGTTCATGATCACACAATTAACCCAGGCATGCAAAAAAAAAAAAAAATCCAACTGGTGGTAGGCCCCCTCTGCAAATAAACTTTTACATGGGCAGCCAGGATATTCACCAAACCTTAAAAGTTTCAGCTTTGCTTTTATTAAACAAGGGAAACTTGTGGCCCTTGTTGGAAAATGCAGGGCAAGGATGATGCTCAAAAGGTGCGGCCAAGGTTGCAAGTGCTTGTATCTCCAGGAGGAAGCGCCTGTTTTCAGCAAGCACTCTTGCCCTGTGCCTAGCTTGGGGAAAATACAGGATCACGAAATCTATATGAGCAATTTTTCTGAGATACTGTGTGGCTCCCTGCAGCCTAAAAAGGAGAAGGAGGCTGGGTCTGGACTCTGAAAGCCTCAAATGTATGAAGAGAGGTGGCAGAAATCCCTAGAATGACTAGAAATCGCCAATAGGAATAGCTAGACCATGGAATGAGGTGGGAAGGAGCCAGCCACCATGTTGATATGAGAGACAAGATGAAAGGGGTGAAACTCATACCGACAAAATAATGGCCTTGTCTATTTAGGCAAAAATACACAACAGTAGTGAGTGATGTTGGACTGGTCTGCAGGATATTTTGAGTAGAGGCATCAACCAATTTGCATGGCTGGGTTAACCCTTCTGATGCCAGGGCACTGCCCTGTAGCTCTTTGTGCCTCCTTCTCAGGATGCCTCTTGCCACATCACTGTCCCACCCACATGCACCTCCTGTGGGTCCCTTCCTTTTGCTGCCACATTTTGAACATGCCATGTGGCTTTTTCTATTGTGCCTCCAAAAGCCACAGCTCCATATCTTGTGGCCTCATCGCTTGGGTCCAGGCATGTGGTTGCCTGCCCCTCCACAGTCCAGCAGCCACTGATGCCACACTTTAGTGCCACGTGGTGATAGTTCCCTCTCCCCTCCCCCACTGTGTGGCTAATGACGTGCTGCCGGCATTGCACCTTTATGCGGCCATCTTTTATTCTTACTCTTCTCAAAAGTAAAGGGCTCTTGTCTTGTCGGACTGGTCGCACCGGCCCTTCTCATCCACAGGCCCCAGTGAGGGAGCAAAATGAAACAAACTTTAGAATGTCTTCCATAAATGATGCTATTGAGAGACAGGAAAGCACTGATCTCTTCAACTTTAGGCGAGGAGTCATGCTGCGTTTCTCAGCTTCTTGCATGAGCAGCCCAGCTCTGTGAAAGAGAGTTAAACTTTGGAAGGGGTGGAATTATGGGGAGGTGGTTTGGGGACAAGGTTCTTGGGTTTGCTAAGAATGGGAAAAGGATGAGGAATCTGAGGAAGGATCAAACTTCTCAGTTCCTTGGGAAAGAGAGCTGGTAATGAAATGTGGAGCAGGTGGTTTGGTAGGAAAATGAATGCTGGTTGATATGGGGGAATAGATGTCTAGTGAATAAGAATTCTAACGATGGGGAGAAGCTAGAAAAAGGCATCTTACTCTGGAGTATTTGAATGGGCTAAACTTGGGATCAGAGGACTCCTGTTTCAGAAGGATGAAGTAGCCAGTCTTGTCTCCTTGGGGAAATGAGGAATTTTCTGCATTGCCTAAAAAGGGCAGAAAGAATTACAGGCCCAGCTTATTTGTGACTTCTGTAGGGGCATCTTTGGCTAAAGTCTAAGAATGTTCACCACAGTTTCCAGGGGTTTTTTTCCTCTAGAATCACTGGAACTTCATAAAAGATGCCTCTCATCTCCCATATTATGTTCTTATGGCGGTAGAAGCTTAAAACATGAAGTATTCCTGAAAATGGGGAGATGGGGTTCTTTTAGGGGCACAGATCAAGCTTCCCCAGATTTTGAAAAGTCTGGCTATTTCATTAAGACAAAATACTAGTCAAGATTCCAGTCCTCTTATGAATACCAAGTGAGGCTTCACACCTTTGAAAAACTTGGTTGAGGAACTGCCTAGAAATCTTTTATTTCCTCCAAATGTTAATTGGATTTGGCTGTGGGGGGCGTGGGGGCAGCAGGACTTCTGGTTCTCTGAGATGGAGTGGAGAAGGGGCTGTTGGACTGATCCTAGAAGCATTGAGAACTACAGCATTGAGTCCTTTTGCCTTAATGTATTGAAATGAAGTATGTGATGTTGACTTTGTGATTCAGGGATCCATTCCCTGGGATGATTATTGGGAATGGGGGAGGGGGTGGGAATGGTGGTAATGCCTGCATTTGACAGGGTTGTGTTTTGAATTTTATTGTGGTTGCTGGGTGGAGACAGAGGCTGTGGAGAAGAGAGTCGGTACGTTCCCCTCCATCTCTTTTAATCTTCTCCTGTAAATCTCCAAGGTGATCATTCTGTCCTCCCCACAAACCAACACCTGGCCCTGTAGCATCCAGGTGTAATGTATAATAGATTCCACCAACATACAATCCATCCCTACACACATGCAAATATATATATATACATAACACATCTTCATTTTTTGTTATTGCTGGAGAGAGGCCACATAATCCAGAGTCAATGATTCAGCTTCAGCCTACAAGAATGTTGGTAAGAACCAGTTCTGTCTCCCGAGTGCAGAGGGGTGGTTTCCAATTCTACTAGAATTCCACTGCATGTTTGAGATTCCTGCTGGGCTCTACTTTGCAAGGTTCAGCCGAGTTCCCAAGTCTGGAGGCTATAGAAGTGGTTGTGAGGGGGGGCACCCATGGCCATCACCTATTCTAAAGGTTCCTTATCTCCATTGAACCTGTTTACCTCTCTTTCAATGTTGGGAGGATAAACTCCTGTCCTGCTAGATGCTTCTCTTGGCTCCTCCATCACAGTCGTATTAGATTCATACCCCCTAGAATCTAGCGTGGGTTGACATTTGATGTTTGTTTTGACTTAATTCCACCTATCCTGGGAAAACTGGCATTTTGTGTCATCTTCATTCTATCTCCAGATGTCTTTTGAACCCAGGATTCCTAGACTTTCTTCCTCTTTGGTACCTTCCTCCCCCAAAGGAACTGTACCTCATGTGGGCAGAATCTTTTGAAATGAATGTATTTAATCCTGTGTTGCCTAAGATTACCTTATGGCATTCAGGCAGATCTGCCTCACATGTTCTCTCTCTGTCTCTGTCTAACTCACTCTCTCTGTCTCTTTCGCTCTCTCTCTCTCTCTCTCACACGCACACACACACACACACACACACACACACACACACTTCCTTTACACCTTCCTCTACCAAATCCGTTATCCTGGGCTGGAGGTCTTGACTCTGCCTTCAATGCCTGTGCAGAGCAACTAATGTAATTTACTGATTTTATTTGCAAATATAAACTTTATGGGATACAGAGGTTCTCTGTAGGTGTCTTTGCATCCATTAATGTGTGTTTTGAGACAAGAGGAAGACCTTTGGCTATAACCAAGTATTTGCAATGTTCTTCACTATCGATACTTGGAACAGTAACACAGAAAACCAGGCAGAGATCAAAAGTAATGCCCTGAATTGGGAATTTGGGGAGGCAATGGCAGAGTTTTGCCAACTGGTTCTCCTGGTAGTTTGGTTACAGCTTCTGAATGCTGCAGTGAAGAAGAGGAGCAGTTGGGGTAGTTTTGCTCACCCTATGAACTGTATTTCACTTTTAGTGCTGGCAACTCATTTACCAGTTTAGTTCAGTAGCAGCACTAATGCTGGACTTGAAAGCAAAACTCACCTTATTTAACAAAGCCACATTGTAAACTTTCTGAAAGCCTAAGTATCTTGATAGAATTCCTCTTGTTCAAAGATGGGTCTTCTCTCACTTGTGAAAAAAGAGGTAGAGGGTTTTTTTCTCTCTCTCTCTAAAAGAATAGAGTTATTCTCTTTGTCTCTCTTTTCAACCTTGCAGGCCTGTTTTCAGGGGAGTAAAAGAAAAGTCAAAATGGTAGCCATAATCATGTGATCAATGTCCTGAAGGGGGGGTGGGTTTTGATTGCATGGATATGGCCATTTTTAAAAAAAATAATACCACCCCACCCGTTGCCCATAAACAATCCTGGTAAAATACAACTTAAAATTTAGTGCTAACCAAGTGTTGGAAACAAATTAGTATGCAATTTGAAAAAGTAAGGATCCTAGGTTCATTAAAACCCAGGATCCCCAGATTCTGGCAATGCTGTCTTTGAGTGGAGGGGGTGGGGATAGTGGAGGCAGACCAGATCCATGGGGATAAGCAAATGGTTTGCTGTATGCTGAGCTTTCATATTACATTCTCTTTAGTGATTCCCAGTGTCCACTTGCCCCGATGTTTGACTCTGGTTTCTGGCTTGCAGTCATAATTTTCTATTTCCCACCATGCTCCAACTTTTCTGAGTTGGGAATCACTACAGACCATTGCAGAAAATTGGAAAAAGCACCTTATGGTTTTTTGCCACTGATAAGTCAGTGTAGGGGAAAAGCAACCAATGGGGAAATTTGGTCAAGCTATTTTTAAATATGAACCCACTCCTAAGTCTTGGATGCCCTGGGTTATTTGCAGCAGATTGTCAAGAACATTTAGTTTAGAATAGTTGAATCAGACCAAGCAAAGAGGGAGTGGGGTGGTAGTTCTGCACAATTGAGATGAAGCTTTCAATTGTGTACACACAAATCATTCTAGCTTATCCAGTGAAGTTGTTAATTGGTTCTGTTGCCATGCCAGTATTTTACACCAAGTTACTGAACCGCTGGGTTGTACTAGGAACAAATAAGCTCCTTTCTGCCAGAAACTTGGCTATGCTTGATTTAGGGAGCTCATAAGATGTCCTCCCAATGGCCTGCTTAGGCACCAGGCAGCAGATATGATCAGATCATTACTCAAAGAACATTTGTTAAGGAACCCAACAATTAGATTGCAGACTTTATAGAGTTCCTTTCCCAAATGCTTTGACTGGGATAGGCCAGTTCTATCAAAGGCTCTATCAATCCATGCCAGATTTCCCTGTTCAAAGTCTCTTCCCCTCCCCCCACTCCCACCCCATTAGTAATGTCCCTTATCAACACTGGAAGTCATTAGATGTGCAGGTAGTCCTTGACTTACAACCACAATTGAGCCCAAAATTTGCATTGCTAACCAAGGCAGTTGTTAAGTGACTTTTGTCTCATTTTATGCCCTTTCTTGTCCCAGTTGTTAGAGAGAATCACTGCAATTGGTAAGTAGTAACTGGTTTGTTAAGTGAATCTGACTTCCCTTATTGACTTCGCTTTCAGAAGGTTGCAAAAAGCGATCTAATGACTCCAGGATACTGCAACCATCATAAATACATGCCAGGTCCCAAGGGTCCAATTTTGTTCACATGATCATGGGGATGCTACAGCAGTTGTGTGTGTGAAAAATTCTCATAAGTCTTTTTTCAGTGCCACTGCAACTTTGGTCACTAAACAAATGTTTGTAAGTCGAAGACTACCTGTAGTAACCTGTTCACATTAAGCATTAGGAACTGTCTAGTATTCTGAATGAGAATTACTGAAGTACAATATAGACTGAATTTGAATACAGAAGAAAAGATTGGGTGGAACAGTGAATGAAATATCTTTTATAACAAATCCCATGCAGATAATATCACTGCAGAAGAGTTCATGGCTGGGGATTACTGTTCTTCAGACTCAGAAATTTAGCCCAGGAGCAAGAAGACAAGCCACAAGAATCACCTAGCTTGGTAAGATGGACAACATGCCTACAATAGGTGAGCTAGTAGTTCTGAGCAGTGCGGCCCTGGGGTAATTTTTGTATGATCCTTGGACTATTTTTGCCTAATACAAAGCTAGTAAAATAGGGCATTTCGAAGAATCCCAAGAGCAGTAGAAGTATCCCACTGTCCTGATACACTAATTACTTGACTACTTTCAGGGTGCTATTTCCCATTGCCAAAATAGTAGGCTTGGAGGCACCCAGAGAGGACACTCCATTTCCATTCTCCAGTTCTAGGTTAGAGACTGCCATTCCCTACAGCTCACCCCCTTTCAATTAACCAGAGCATAACTATTCTGATATAGAAGGAACATGTAATCATGACTCCAGTGGGAAAGCATTATTTTTAATAACATTTTGGAAGAGAAGCAGCAGAACACAGCGCCAAGCATTTCAGCTCAGTCTGATTTCCCCAGTTACAACTCTGTAGAAGGTATAAATGGGTTGGATTATTGCTCCCATAGCCATTAATTATACTACGCTGAATGTAGCTCTGGGAACTGAAGCAGGTGAACATTGAGGTTGAAGTTGTTGGCTCCATTGCTGATGGCAAGGGTGGGGGGCATTCAGAATATAGCAGATGACCAGGATGCCAGAGGCCAATACAACATCCATATCATTATTGACTATAGTTTATTATAGTATTTTAAATTTATTATACATAGTACACAGTTGTACAGTTAAGACACTTGTGTTGTAATTTTTACTTTAAAATGTAATTTATTACTTTCTGAAACCAAATGGTGCTTATTCTGAAGTAAGATATATGATTGCCTAAAGCAATCTATTATTAACATTATAATTACATTTGTGTCTAAAATTATTTAGCTGCCTGTGTTGCAGCCATGAACTTCTTGCCCAGTAACAGCTGAATCATACAACTGGATAAGGAGAGTTGGGGGGAGGGGGGCACACACTACTTGGGGAAGCTATATGCAAATTGTAAATCAGAACATTCAGCAATATAACTTTCTATAAGATTCTAAAATTAAGGGTCCTCTGATAAATTTCAGATGTTAACATTTACTCAGAATAGGTCAGGCACCAGGGGGTGGATGGGAGGGAGAAAACATAACCTGTTTCAATTTTTCCAGCAATTTGCATGCATGAAAGGATTGGGTGGTTTTTTTTTTAAATTAAAAATAAATAAAAACTATATCAAACAAGCAGAAATGAAGCAATGATGTTTCAATCTATACAAATTCGCCATAACAGAAAAGAAAGTAGACTAACACAAACTTGGCAACAATTGGAAATTTAAGCTGCAAGAAATCAATTACCACAAATGTATGGTCTTTCTAGAGCAGTATTTCTTAACCTTGATAACTCTTAAGATACATGGACTTCCAACTCCCAGCTAAAGTCCACACATCTTAAATTGGCAAGGTTGAGAAACATTGTCCTAGACTTTTCTGCTTTTCACACAATTAGAAGGACTGTCCTGTTCCTCAGTTTCATTGGGAAACAGTAACAGCATTTTGGAAAATAAATCTTCCCACAGACTTCACTCACAAAGGTGTGACAGTTCCTTCCAAAGTTGTGTACTTTGGAGACAGGCAGGCAAAGCAGAAAATACATATTTCAGAGATCCTGTAGGGGGCACCCTCTTTCCAAATGTGTGATTAGAAAGACCAAGAATAAAAGCCAGGAATATAAGCTTTCAGGGGAAACGTTCTCCTAACTTAAGAAAAAGAAAAATTAGATAGATCCACAAGCAGGACATCATCATCATGTTTTGCTTGGCTTTGGATTCATATCCTTTCTGGAGGTCAGATGCCATCCAAGTGACTGGCTTCCCAGGAGTCACTGAGTGTGTCCAGCAGACGCTGGCGGGCTAAGGACCTTCGAAGGTGCATGCGATAGTCCTCCATTACCAGGTTATCCCAGCGTCGCAGCACAAAATGGTTTTCATCCAAGGTTAATCCAGAACATAACAGCTGATTCCGAGTTCGGAAATCGGATACTGTGATCAGCCACCTGCATAGGAAGACAAGAAAAGGAAGATGGCTGACGGACATGGTTTCATCAAGCTTCATTATGATGGGGGAAGTTTCCGCTGCTTCTTCCCCAGGAACCCATGGCTGAACAAGTTCAGAATAATCCCTTTAAAAGTTCAGAATGACCCCTTTCACGGGGCCAGTGCAATAGGCAAAAATGGCAGGAGCCAGTGGCATAGATGGCAGAGAGACAAACACAATGGAGTGTGTCTGAAGCAGATCTGGCAGTTCTCAGAAGCAGAGCCGAACAAAATTCCAAATTATTGAAGGTTAACTTCCCCAGTTAAGCAAAAGCATTCAGGTCTCTATTTTCAGAAACTCAGTCTGCTTCTAGGTTGAATATTCAGCTTTTAAAGTATACAATTTTACACCCCTTCCCAAAGGCTGCCTGTTGGAGACAAAGGCTGTATGTCCAGGAGGTCGTCTGTGCCCTTTGCCTAGATTAGAAATTTGGTTTTTTTTATGGCAGGGCTGCATAATTTATAACAACCTACCAAAAGCTGCAATTCAATTGGCATGTTTAATGCAACAGAAAAGGGAAACTCTCAAATACCCCAAGAAAAATGGTAACTGGCCTGGCCTGGCCCAGATTATGCATTATTCATCTGCTAGATCAATATTTTTTTAAACTTGGCCACATTAAGGGCTGTGGGCTTTAACTCTCAGAAATCCCCAGTGCTGGCCAGGGAATTATGGGAGTTGAAGTCCACACCTCTTAAAGTTGTAAAGTTTGCAGAATACCGAGCTAGATTGTGTCCTGAACTCTCACGCCTTCAGTTGAATAATTGCATAATTGTAAGGAGCATAAATGAACACATAACAAGATTTATTCTACTAAAGTAACTCTGCTCAAGAACCCAAGGCTGGGTTAGTATAACATATTTAGTTTTGTTACTGAATTAACTTGTTTTTCCAATTTGCAAAATATATTGGGTTATAGATTAACCAAACAGTATGGGTTCATACAATGCAGTATTTTTAAAGGACTAAAACCAAGCAAATTTACTACGTTTTCTGAATGCATTCGCCCAAGCTTTTGCTGGTCTGCCCAGACATGTTGTGCAAACACAGCTAAAATGGGGCCCTAAACGTTAGTATGTCTCATAAGAGTCAGGACTGAAGAAGTAGGAAAATCAAATGATAGATCCCAGGTTTTATGCAGTTAGTTGTTCAGAGTCACTAGACTGAGATGAATGACCATATGATTGATTGATTGATTGATTGATTGATTGATTGACAGACAGACACTGACTGACTGATTAAATAGATGATAGGTTAGATTAGGTGATTAGATTAGATTAGATTAGATTAGATTAGATTAGATTAGATTAGATAGGGAAAAGGAGGGAGGGGGAGAGGAGAATTCTGGGAGTTGAAGTCTATACATCTTAAAGTTAACAAAGATGAGTAACACTGATTAGACTGATGGTCAGTGAAGGAAACTACACATTGTCTCAGCTAAGTGGTTTTTTAATGATGCCATGAGCCAAGCAAGCCAAGTAAAGCTGAGTGGCCAAACAGATTTCCCTCAGTCGAGAGGATTGGGGGATAAAGTAGCTGAATATCTATACCAACCTGTTCTTCCGCCCAGCAGTTCCACAGATTACATTGATGTTTTCAAACTGGATGCTGTGTAGCAGACCTGCTTCAAAGGCATTGGGAATGACAGCTTCTATGGCTGCTAGGATTTCAGCATGCGTCATCTCCTTTTCAGGCTAAAAATCAGAAGGGATGCTCAATCATTGAAGCCCATCTCCTCTCCCCCTTCAGACACACCTGCTAACAGCCTTTTAAGTTATGGCTTGTATATTATAGTTCTACCCTATCTTTGTTCTTGGACTTCTGATTTGATGCTATTCCCTCATTTTTCCTTCATAACATCCTATAAGGTAGGTTAAGCTTAGAGATTGGGATCACTCAAGATTGCAGAGTCAGAATCAAGGCTAGTGTTTTTCAATCATGTGAAACAATAATACCACTCTCAGGATTCCCAGAAAACATGGCTAACTGCTTTACCATCCTCTGTATTTTATACTACAGGTAGTCCTTGACTTACAACCATTCATTTAACAATGGTTAGAAGGTACAACAGCCTAAAAAAAACCCAAAACCCTTACAACGCATCCTCAAAGTTATGTCTGTCACACAACTTCCACTGTCAAGTGATCGCAATTGGGTGCTTGGCAGCTGGCTCGCATGTATGACTGGGCAGGATCTTGCGGTCATATGATCATGATTTATGGATCTTCCTAACTTCTGACAAGCAAAATCAATTGGGGAAGTCAGATTTACTTAACAACCATGGTAAAACTGGTTATAAAATTGGGTCTAAGGTTGGTTCTAATCAGAGTTGATAGGGAGTGAGAGGTTCAGCCCACAACCACTCCTCTGTGGCATACCATAGGACTCTGCACTCTGTCTACTCCTTTTTAACATCTATATGAAGTGCTGGTTGAGATCATTTGCCAACAGGTTGAGGTATCATCAATATGCTAATGATACTCAACTTTATATATCTATCCCTGGTGATCCAAGTGATGCCACTGCCACTCTTGCAGTTCCTGGAGGCTATGAGGGACTGGATGGGGAACAACAGACTACAACTGAACCCTAACAAAACCAAATGGCTTTGGGTGCATACAGATTGAAGATTTGGGGCTTTACCCAACTTAGTTCTGGGTGGACTTGCACTACTCCAGACAGACCCAGTTCATAACTTGATGGTTCTCCTGGTCTGTGACTCCTGCTCGAAGAGCACTTGGCAGTCATGGCTAAGACAGCCTTTCCACAACTTTGGTTGGTGTGCCAGTTGTGGCCTTTCCTGGATTAGGAGTCTCTTGAGATCAATCAATCAAGCCCTGGTCATCTCATATCTGGATTACTGCAATGTGCTCTGTATGGGACTACTCTTGAAGAATATTTGGAAGCTTCAACTAGTACAGGGTGCAGCAACATAAGCAGTTCTTGGGGTCCATAGAATGACCTGTGTTACACCACTTGCTCTGCAAACTGCACTGGCTGCCAGTCTTCTTCCAGATGCAATTCAAAGTGTTGGTTATTATCTTTAAAGCCCTGCATGGCATGGGTTCAGGTTACTTGAGAAACTGTCTCACCCCACTGGGACTGGCCTGCCCCTCCTGGATCAGCAGAGGAGGCATGTTGCAGGCTCCATTGCTCAAGGAATTCCAGCTGGTGGGATGCAGGGGAAGGGCTTTCTTTGCCATGGCTCCTGCCCTATGAAACATCTTATCTCCCACCCTTCTGTACATCTGCAAGACCCTGAGGACCTGGTTATGCCAGATGGCCTGGGGCCCTAATGAGGGAACATCACATGGAGGTGGTGGTTGAATTAAGAGCCAATCCCATCTCCCACCACTCCGCCATGCATCCTATTCTCTCCTCGTTGTCTTTTACCAATATCTTGATTGGGACATCTATTTTTATTCTTTTAAATATATTTATTTGTTGGATTTTTAATATTTGAATGCTGGAAGCCACCCAGAGTTGTTTGCTATGAGATGGGCGATGAATAAATACAATAAATAAAAAAAATGGAAACAATAAAGTAAATAAAAATGATGGAAACTGGAAATGTAAGTGGGGGACTACCTGTATGTTTGAATATGGAAATTTCACTAATTTCTCCATTGGGTTGTTCAGGCTTCTTCCTACAAATCAGTCTACTTCCTCCTCTCCCACCCTATCTCCTTTTTCTTTTCTAAACCAGCCAAGCTCCCAACTAACATCATAATGAATATCTGAATATGAGCCATGGTGGCACATATGCAGTATGTGGTTAGAATGCAGTATTGCAGGCTAACTGCCCAAGTCAGGAGTTCAATCCTGACTGGATCATGGTTGACTCAGCCTTCCATCCTTCCAAGGTTGGTAAAATTGTTATTTTGATTGTTAGGAGCAATATGCTGACATTTATAAACCGCTTAGAGAGTGCTGTACCACTATGGAGCGGTATAAAAGTGCTACTGCTATTGCTATTATTTATTTATTTATTTATTTATTTATTTATTTAGTAGTTGTTATTTTATTATTTTATTATTATTACTATTATTGAAAAGTGTCCGAAGTTAAGCCTAAATTTTCCATGAGTGAATTTTGGACAGCTAATAAAATCCTTTCACTCCGAAGAATTAAATTTTCTGGGTGTACAACTCAGATATCCACAAATGTTGTCCTTTGTAAAATCTTTTAGTTGGTATAGCTGAGCCATAACATAGTTTTGCCTAGATGGGTTGTCACTTAAACTGCCAGAGTTTCTAATGTACCTTCAGACAGTATTGACTGACATTATAGTTGCTGTGATCACAATTATACTTTAACAAAGACATGTTATGGATGTGAATAGTTGCCATGAATTAAGTATACAAGTGAATGGGGATAAATTGATCATTTTTGAAATTACAGCATTTCTAGATGGGCCTATGTGTTCCTCTCAGGCCTCATGGACAGCTGTGCACAACTATGTCTGGGATTTCTCTTATTTAAAAAAAATTAATTAATCTGCCCCAGCCAACCCACAAAAGATGAATTTCCCACAATGCCACCATATCTAACTTCTCTCTGGGACATGGGGAAAAAAATTAAATAGCAACTTATTTTCTCTCTCAGGGCTCAGTGCTTCTCAGACAACTTAAAAGGGCCCTGAGTCTCTTTCTCCCACTGAAGTTAGACTAACCGGGTTCTCCAAGCAAAGGCAAAGGGGTCGGGCAGCAGGCGGCCGAGGAAACTTGCGGATGCAAGGCATTTCCATGTCCAAGGCTTCATATTCAGCAATGATCTTCTTCAGATACTGACGCCTAAGTGGAGGGAAAGAAAGCTGAAGCCCAGGCCCCATTAATAGTACAGAGTGGTTATGGCTCAGAGTCATCTGTTTTGATCCGGCCTCTCATCAGGAGAAGCTGAGAAAGTACTTCCTGACAAAGCAGAAGGATTCATTCCTATGTCAGAGGCAGTTTGGCATAGAAATGCAGCTTTTGTTCTCATTGTCCGCTTGTGCTCTTTTCAGAAGCCTCCGGTTGGCCATTGCAGATACAAGATGGTGATCTGGATAGGACTTTGCCTGCCCCGCCAGACTTCCTAAATCTAGGAGAATGAGCAATATTATAGTGAACAAGTATGGATATTATTTTTTCATGCTCACCTATGGCCTCTGTTTTGATTAAGAGGCATATTGGAAACCTCAATCCAAGAACTGTGGTCACTGCCAAATGGCCCCCCACTTCCAGAACAGAACCACGAGGCCTCCATATAGGAAAACCATGTGGTAGATTAGCTACTTCTCCTTCCCAAAGGCCATCTTCAGAAAAGATAAGGGCACTGAGATGTGACCGGGAGGTGGGGGTGGAGGCCCAAGACTGTGGGAACCAGTGGGATGGGAAATGGGGCACGGGGTGCCTCAGAGTGGTTCACTTAACAACTACCACTACTTATGACTGTAATGGGCAGGCCTTATTACAGTCATAGAGTACCTGTATTTAATAATTTTCTCTTCTGTTCCATTAAAGATTAGAATTTAGTGGCAACTTTCAGAGAGCCTCCCTCTCAAGACTTGGGAGGAAATATGAGATCCTATTCTAATATCTTAGTATTGCTACTAATATCCTGTCATACTGAGACATTGCTCTCTTGATAATGCCACTGCTCAGGAAATTACATTATAATTTACAGACCAACGATAAATCTTCAGGGGCTCTGAAGGACTGCAGCAGGATAAAGAATATACCCTTACTAGCAGAAGGAGCAAGGGATCTGTGCTGCAATTCAGCCTCTGCCTCTGAAATAATCTCCTTTTTCTCCCTAATGTCGACTCCTTATCATTTCAAAGTCATACTCACGAAGTTTTTCGAGGAGGTGGGCAAGGTTGCTCCAATTCAAGAAAAAGGGAAGATACCCCTTCACTCTCAGTTTCTGGAACTGAAAGCAAAATGGTTAGTTAATGTTTACAATGTAATCTATAGTTGTTCTTCAACAAAAAAAAAAAAAATCAAAACATGAGAAGAATCTCCTGAACACAATCAAAAGCTCTCCATGTCCAGCATGCTTTTTTTCATACTGGCGAACCACCTGGGAAACACAGAAAATAAAGACCATTCAGGAGTTCTTTTGGTTCACACTTTCATTTTACACACAAAAAAAATGGTTGGTCACTTTCAGAGTTATATTTTGTGGGGTAAGTAGAAGTAGAAATAACTAAATATATTATCTAAGTTCCTGAACAAAAAGTGGGATACAAATCTAATAAATAAAACAACATGCTACAGTATTTCTGGATAGAACTATCTAAACAGTTGCACAAATCTTCCTGTAAAGGGTCTGAATTTGAATCAAAGTTTTGTCTTTTGTGAGACTTCTAGCTTAGCTGACCTGATAAAAAAATGCACTAAAGTTATTAAACCTCAGATCTTGAACGACAAGGTAGGATTCATCTAACATGCTAAGTCAAATCACATTCAGGTTTGGCAACATGTACAAAGCCCACATATACTCTACTTGCCCATATTTAACTGGTTATAGGATGGGGTAGAAAAATCCAGCCATTTGCAGGATTAGAGTTTAGTTTTTCACAACCCTGAGTTGACTAGGCCAGCTGATTATTTTATTTATTTATATCCCACCTTTATTATTTTTTATAAATAACTCAAGGCAGCAAACAAATCTAATATTCCTTCTTCCTCATATTTTCCTCCACAACATCAACCTTGTGAGAGAATTTGGACAGAGAGAGAGTGACTGGCCCAAGTCACCCAGACAGCTTTCATGTGTAAGGCAGGACTAGAAATGATAGTCTCCTGGTTTCTAGCCTGGTATCTTAACTACTAGACCAAACTGGCTCTGGGGAAGAGTTTGGGATTAACCCTTTCATCTGAATCCCAGCATAGAAATGAAGTCCTTAGTAAACCTACAAAAACAGCCTTGCATTAGGAACTCAATCCCATTGTTTAATATTTCACCCCTTTTCTTCCCAAGAGGTTGTAAGCCTATCCCAGCTCCATCTGCATCAATCGGAGTCAGGTAGATTTTAAATAAAAAAACTGATTTGAAAAATAAAGATATAGGAAGTGACAGCTACCCAGCTGCCCTGCAGGGACTGGCAACCTAGAGTTTAGAAAGTGGATTCCTTATCTCCCTAGTGGGAATCTGTCATGTTATGCTCCTGGTATACAGGGATAAATATTTTCCGTGGGCGCTATGTTATAATATAGAGTTGGAAGGGTACTCAGAAGTGTCAAGTTCAATTCTAAATTCTGTATCTTATCTTCAATACTTAATACTCTACAACTACAGCAATTCTGACAGGGAGACTCTGTACAAGTAATTCCAATAAGAAATAGCCTATCGCTTCTGTGACCAATTTGATTTGTTATGAATCTTACTTCGAAGACCTATTTCATAATAAATAACTTTCCCTGTAATTTCTACCCCTTTGGATTTGCTCCAGTCCCCTTGAGCAATAGAGAATTCATCTTTTCCATCGCAGAAGATGGGTCAAGTCCATTTTCTACATGGGAGCCCTTCTAATCATATCTGTTTTCTCCCTTTAATGCAAAGCTGAATAACCTGCCACTTTTTAACAGTCCCAGAACCCTTTCTAACAAACTGCTGAACATTAGGCAAATGAAAAGTGTAGTTAAATGGAAATGTAAGGGGGGAAAAGCAACCTCATTTAAAAAAAAAAATCATGCCTTTGAAAAAAGGGAGGAAATCTAAGTGAATCCAGGTGGGTCATGTGTTTTTTCTATGGGCATCAGAACTTGATCCACTGTGGATTTTGCTATGTGCCAATGTATTCAGCATGGTTGTGACCACCAAGTGTTAGTCATCTAACCATCAGCACATTCTTTCCAGTGCTACTGGAAGTGTTACTGTTCGACTTGGTATGTCCAACACTACAGTAGGTGTGTGCAAAAGGCTAAAGTTTTAACCATTTTGAATGCAAAACAGCTATATGTATACTAGCTTGATTATTAAATTTACCCATTTTAAAAGTTACATAATATGCACTAACCATGTGATCTGGCAGCTAATTAAAAATTTAAACAAATTTAAAGTACAATTGGAGCTGCTGCTCAACTGAATCTGGCCAAGCACAATGTGGCAGAAAAGAGGTAAATTAAGTCAGCCTGACATCAGTCCCTCAAGTTTCCAAGCATATTTAGCATACTTAGTTCCAAATAAATGGCTGCAATATTCTTAGTTACTAAATGAAATGAAATTACTAAATAAAATGATAGAGTTTATGAAACATTCACAAGAAAAGTAAGCCATAAAACCTAGTAAAAAATCAATCATGATTACACTTCACATCTTGCATGAATATGTCTATTAGGTCACTATCAGTCTTGGTTTAAATGTATGATGTTAACATAGCCAATGAGTTGATGTCTATCATAATTGAAGTATGATTAAACTGAATCTAAATAAACTAACAGCATGTGCATTGGTTTATTTATTTGGTGCAACCCTTCATTGGTTGATTTCAGTTATCAAAACTATAAAGATCAATGGCAGAGTTGTCCGCAGGACACCTAAAAAGTAGCAGTGCTTCCATTGCACCATTACAAACACATCTGGACTGTTTGTACATCTTGTGGATATCCCTGACCTGTAGAAAGGTGATTACAGAACAAGAACACCATTCGCCTGTCTTCATTTGCGGTCCAGCATACCAAGGCATGAATCTAGAACCATATTTGGCCATCATTAGAGAATCAGGTAACTTGGCATTTTCAAGGGGGAGCTCTAGAAGGCTCTTTATACATAGCCTTAATGACTTAGCAACACCACCCATAAGCATCAGCTTGATCTGCCTCCTGCCTTTTTGGTTATGCCTTAGTTCCCTGCTTCCAAGCCATGGCTTTCCTCCTAATTCTTTGATTGCCTTTCTCCCATTCTAGGTTTAAGAGGAAATAGATCATTATGATTTATGGCCTAGCACAATAAAAGATGGAGATGAAAGTGAGGAGGGGATGGCCAGCTGCAGCTCCTTCCAGGTCCTCAAGAGTCGGAGAGGTACTTTATGATCTCACCACATTCTCCTTGGCTGCTGGAACGGGATTGACACCTGGGTCCTTCATTCTCTTCTTCCTGCATTCTTGAGTAGAAAAAAGAAGACCAGTAAAAATTAACCTTGACTTCTGCCTACTGCCTTCCTCTTGCAACATGATGCATTGTTGCCTGCCCCCCTCCTGATCCAAACTTCGGACACCTCCCCCAAAGTGGGAAGACTCAGAGGAATAACACTTTCAGATTCTATCAGAAGTAAAATGGCTCATTTCCTCTAATGAACTATATTCATTTCATGACAGTAATAGTTATTCATGAACTTCCCTGCCAACAGATGTGAGCTGTTGTGCAACTTAGATGACCTTCAAGGGTCATTAAGACAAATTCAGGAAGGAGGTGATGACTGCTGGCTAAAGACCTGATAGAAATAATTGCATTTTCATGGTCAAAGGAATAAATAAAAATTTCTATTAAACAATAGCAGGAGGATGCTAGTGCCCTCAATATCTTGTGAGTTTCCCATGGAATTTGGTTAATCCTCTTGAAACAGGTGACTGGACTAGGTAGGATCTTTCCATGTTCTTCATATTCCTTGAAATGGGAATTAATTTCCCTTGACTACCAATGAGAAAGGGAGATAAAAGGGAGATAAAAGGCTTAGATGTCTAAAGACATCTAAATTGCAGATCAGTCCCACATCAGTTGGCAGGGAGGGCCCATGAATCAACTGTCATATGAAATGAATACATGCCACCATATATTATACTTGCCATGAAAATATTTCCCCTTCCCAATAATGTAACTTTCCCATTTTTTTTTCCAAGATCTGGATCCAAAGTCATCACACTGTGCATACAATGTAGGGACTTACAAGGGGACAGCCCTGATTCACATAACTAATACTTTTAATATTAATAACTAATACTTCCAATATTACAACAACAAGAACTGATTGTCCAGAAAAGCCATTTAGGGCATGGAAAGAAAACAGATGCACAAAATATTATTTATTCGAGACATATTTCCATTTGACTGGAAAGAAGAAAAAAGGACATATTTTTCAGCAGGAATAATGTTGGACATACTATTTCTTTTCATTCCTAAAACAAATGAAGAAAGTATTCAGAAGTCCTTCATAGTTGCAGCTAACCAACACAGTCACTTTCATCCCCTTGCCTTTTTCTTAAAAATATATTTCTAACCTGAACCTTCCTTTGAGAAGAGCAATTACACCACAGTGCTGGGCACATAATTTGCACGCAGATGGTGTCAGATTCAATCCCTGACAGCCCTAGTTAAAGTAACTTTGGACAGCAGATTGTAGAGAAGAAAATCAGTCCCTGCCTGATAAGCCAGAAATCCATTCTGAGCCAGTCTGAGTGTCTGGGCAGGCAGACACTTGCTCTCTTGCTCCTGTTTTTTTTTCTTGGCACTGACCCTATTTCACTTTCTCTCTTCCTCCCACTGCATTTTCTCTCTCCTTTCTTTCCCCTGACTCTCAACAGACATAAATTGTGGCACTGCTATTTTTTTCTGTAACTTTTGCTTGCATGTGTTACAAATATGTTATATATCTTCATGTTTCCAGAGAGACTGAGATAGGGTAAGGGGGACACACATGCTGATTTCTAGAAAAATATATGTAGAACAAAGAATTTGGGACCCTTTAGATTAAGGAGAGCCAGTTTGGCATAACAGTAATTGTCAAGGCACCAGCCTAGAAATAGTGAGACTAAGTTCTAGTCCACTTTAAGCATAAAGCCAAATACTGGATGAGCTTAGGATATTCACTCTTTCAGCTCTAGGAAGGAAGCAGTGGCAAAGACACCTCCAAAAATCTTGCCAAGAAAACTGCAGGGATGACTCCCAACAGTCACCAGAAGTCAACAGTGAAAAATAAGATTATGGACTTATTCAATAGTCCCATTTCCCATTTCCTCAAAATAAGCAATTCAAATTTCATGGGCACACATTTTAATCTGGTAAAAGACAGATTCTTATGGAATGAGGTATAAATTCCTGGGAAATAAAATAATCAGGAAACTGTATACATTAATATCTCATTTTCACCTATTTCATCTCTAAGGTCTCTCAAATCTATGAGCTTGGCCATCACAGCATATCAATCATTCAGTACATACTATAAATACTGATCTCTGTTCCTGATCTCTTTCCTCTGATTCCAATCCAAAGTTTACCCAAAACTAATGCTGTTTTGCCAGCTGATCTTACCTCATGCCAGTTTCAAGAGATTCAACTTCCCAGGAAGGCAACTGCGGACATTCAAATCCCAGGATTCCAGAATTTTGAACCCCCTTCTTGGGAGGGGAAGTTTCATTTTGCTGGACCTTGGTGGCCATAACTCCTATTTTATAAATGATAGTCCTCCAGGGTGTAAGTTACAATGGGATCACACATGCCATGCTGTCAAGTACCAATGACACACATTATATAATTTACATCATTTACATAATGATGTCATGATACCTGTGACATTTGTTGTGCACACTTGACAAATGGGAAGGAAGAGTGCCCCAACACATGGCACCACATAGCCTGTCTTGAAAACAAGGTCAAAGTTGGTTAGTATTTGAATGAGAGATCTTCAAGAAATCCTACAGTTCTAGGAAAGTTGAAAATGCATTCTACAAAAAGAGTGGTCAAGCACATCTGTCTGACCATCAAGAAAATTACATATAAGTATCTATGAATTCAGAAAGAACTGATTGGAAAAAGACCTTTTAAGGAGGAAGATAACCCTTGTGATCTACCAATAGGTAAGCACAAATCAACAGACTGAATAGACCACAGACTGTCTTCCCATAATTTTTAACATGAGAGTAAGTCATCTTATCAGAGGTGGGTTGCAGCAGGTTCTGACCAGTTCTGGAGAACTGGTAGCGGAAATTTTGAGTAGTGCAGAGAACTGGTAGTAAAAATTCTAACTGGCCCTGCCCCCATCTATTCTCTGCCTCCCAAATCCCAGATGATCGGGAGGAAATGGGGGTTTTGTAATAACCTTCCCCTGGAGTGGGGTGGGAATGGAGATTTTACAGTATCCTTCCCCTGCCACGCCCACAAAGCCACACCCACAAATCCATACCACGCCCACAAAGCCACACCCACAGAACTGGTAGTAAAAAATTTTGAAACCCACCACTGCATTTTATGTGCCCTGATTAGGGTGAAAACACTGCTACACAATAAAGTGTGTTGTCTAAGAGTATCTTAACATAGTTTATAAATAATTTGCATATGTGTGAACATAGCTTAATAATTTTCAAATTACTTGCTATAGATTTTAAATCAACTAGAGTAGAGATTAAGATTTTGTTCAGAATTGGACAGCCAAATTCAAGTTCATTTTCTTCCAAAAGTAATTTGGAAGAAATAAAAGCTATAGGGACATTTTGAGCTTCTGGAGGAAAGAAAGGATAGAAAGGTAGCACATAAAAATATTACTTGATTTGCTGTCACTGTTTATGGTTGCATAAATCACCATCCCATTCATTCTGAAAACATTCATGAAGATCAAATAAATTGCAGGCAGCACCACAGCCAAGACAATAACTGCTCCCCTACCCCACTATGAACTAAGACTGCAGATATTTTAATTAAGTTGGCTTTTTTTAAAAAAGCTCTGGCTTAGCAACACATTTTCATTGCTGAGTTATTAAATAGATAGAGATTCATCTGGAGATTCCTGTAACATTTGTGACTGGGTTTGCCAGTCATTCTCACTTATCTGGGCCCAAAAAATTAGACGTGCCAAGACCTGCTAAAAATGACCACATCAAAAAGGCATTAAAACATTACAGATTTCAAAATGGCACTTGGAAAAACTCATTAATTAAACTGAGATGAAAAACTTTATGGTAGTTGGAAATGACAATTCCCTGTTGTTACTGCTGTGAAAGTTGCTGAGGACCACAGTATGAAGATATTATAAGGAAATATTTTCTCTGTTCTTCCTGCAACTAGTGATAAATGCATAAACTATTTGAGTTGAATGGAGATATCTATTCAGGCCTAACAGACTGGTTTTCTTTAAATGCTTACTAAAACCTGCCAGTTTGCATCTGAAAATCAAGTTACAGTACAGGCTTGAATTAAGAATAACAGCCTTTGAAGCCTACAGAACTGGAGGAAGCCTCTACAGTGCAGACTGGCTATCCCTGATTTAAAATAAAAGTGATTGATAATTTATACCAGGGGTGAAATTCAGCAGGTTCTGACAGGTTCTGGAGAATCAGTAGCAGAAATTTTGAGTAGTTCGGAGAATTGGCAAATATCACCTCTGGCTGGCCCCAGAGTGGGGTGGGAATGGAGATTTTGCTGTATCCTTCCCCTGCCATGCCCACCAAGCCATGCCCACCAAGCCACACCGTGCCCACCAAGCCATGCCCACGGCACCGGTAGTAAAAAAATTTGAATTCCACCACTGATTTATACCACACCAAAATATAGGGATCAAAATGCCAATCAACCAATGAAAATGAGTCCTTCAAATGGCTTCTGAATTGCACTGAGGTGGCTGGGAAACAGAATGATTACCTGGATGAAACACCAGTAGTCTATCAATCAAACCCAGGCAGCCATAAGTAGGGAGCCCATCCTAAATATATTTGCTCTGACATAAACTCTATTGATCTTGGAATAAACTTTCAGTCAAGGATATCTCAGACTGCAGGCTCATTTTCATTTCCTGTCTGTGATTCAGTTACTAGATCTTCAAGGAAACAGAACAGGCTCTTGTCTAGCCTCACTTCTGGTTTCACCTTTAACTAAGCAAGCATTTTGTTTTGAACTACACTGCTCAAAAAAATAAAGGGAACACAAAAATAAGACATCCTAGATCTGAATGAATGAAATATTCTTAGTAAATACTTTGTTCATTACATAGTTGAATGTGCTGACAACAAAATCACACAAAAATTATCAATGGAAATCAAATTTATCAACCCATGGAGGTCTGGATGTGGAGTTACACTCAAAATTAAAGTGGAAAAAAACACTACAGGCTGACAGCACCACCAGCATTCAAAAGTGACCAAACCATCAGCCAGAAAGCATAGGAACTGAGAAATGGTCTGTGGTCACCACCTGCAGAACCACTCCGTTATTGGGGATGTCTTGCTAACTGCCTATGCTTTCCACCTGTTTCTATTCCATTTGTACAACAGCATGTGAAATTGATTGTCAATCAGTGTTGCTACCTAAGTGGACAGTTTGATTTCACAGAAGTGTGACTGACTTGGAGCTACATTGTGTTGTTTAAGTGTTCCCTTTATTTTTTTGAGCAGTGTATAAGAATGGAAATTCAATATAAACTGTCCTCAGCTTAAAACCATTCGTTTGCTAACCATTCAAAGTTACATTGGCACTGAAAAAATGGCATATGACCGGTCTTCACATTTAAGACTGTTGCAAACCTCTTCCTCAAGGCCACATGATCGAAATTTGGGCACATGACAACCTGCATATATTTACAACAATTGCAGCCTCTCAGGGTCATGTAATTTCCATGTGCAATCTTCCCACTCAATTTTTGACAGACAAAGTCAATGGAATTAACTTAACAACTGTATGGTTCACTTAACAATTGCAATGATTCGCTTAACAACCATAGAAAAAAGTCATTAAATCAAGAACAATTCACTTAATAACTATCTTGTGTAATGGAAATTCTGTTTCCATTTATAGTTGTAAATTGAGGACTACCTAATAATAGATCATATATTTAATCTGAGCAAAAGCTTCTTTTGAACACCTGGCACCAGTAGGGGGCTACCACAGCTTAATGGCAAATGTGTGGGGGCTACTGAGTAGAAACAGAGTGAAAGGATTCTGGATCTATTCAGTACTGGACTTTTATAGTCTAAAGTAGAAGCACTGCTAAAGGTATACCAAACACATGGACTGGAATCAGGCAGGACAGACAGCTCCTGGGCCATAACAGCCTCCACACTTGCTTGCACACCAAAATGGGATGGGATCAACATGCTCAATCCAAGCGTCAAAATGTTTTAAGCTTTGCAGAGCAGATTTCCCGGAATTTTCAAACTTGAAAACTCCGAAGTTGCCCCTAGCAAGAAAAGCCCAATAAATGGGTGAAAAGTTCACCCCTGCCTATTTCAACAATATCATGGCATCAGTAGTCATGACATATGCTGCATATGGAAAAAATTAATTTTAATGTTATGGTTGTTAAATTTTTTTAGTTTAATTCAAAAGAGTGCAGCTGCTAGCCAAAAATAGCTTTTTCCTTATGGTATAAAGCAACCAGTTATAGCTCATTAGGTATTTTTATTAATTCATATGTAGGGTTTAAAAATCATGCCTTCTCCCTGTTGTTATTTATCTCTAGCATCTGATATTTGCAAGCGAGTTGCTGCACAGAGCAAGTCTATTCTCTCAGCCAGTGTTGTCTTCTTTTAGGATACCATTCCTTCTCTCAACAACAAACGGCATTTAATAACCACAGAACATACTTATTTCTCTCTGGGCTATTTTCAAGCTTTTCCTACTTGAAGTTCTTCACACACCAGTCTAATATTATTTTTCCTGAAAAATTTAGGATGGGCATTTAATGATTGACACTGGAGAGTTTAGTTTGCTTTCACTATTGCAGAAGTGGAAGGGTCTATTAAGCAAGCTTATCTAATGGACTGATTCCATTCCTCCACAAATCCTTTTGAAAATCCATCAAAGCAAATGACTTCCTTCACATCTCATCCCAGTTTATCCCCTGTGGGAAACATCTAACTAAGTCAGTCTTGGATGTTTATGATAGTTGGCTTTTTTAGCAAGTATTATGAGACAGGAAAATGAGAAGATCTTATCTCTCTGATGTTTGGGTGGGAACTAACTAGAGTTCTTGCTATTTCCTCAAGTTGGGAAAGTATTTAGGAATTCAGCCTTGAGCATATCTAACTATACACTAGAATACAAGAATACTGATAGGGAATGTAGTAGCAAAAAGAGCCGATTTCAGTCAGGGAAGCCTGAGTTGAAAAACTATTTTCCTGGATGGATGAGATATACCACCACCATCCTTCCTTCCATAAAACTGTTTCTTTCATCCTCCAGAAAGCAATATTTTGTCTGCTGGAGAAGCATTATTTCCTGTAAACTGAATGCTTTTCCTGCTGCCAAGTTTTGTCTCTCGCCCCTCTGTTTCTGAGCCAACTCATATATCCAGCCTGAGCTACTGTGGATTTCTAGAGCTATACAGTAGATCACATGAGATTGAAATCAATGGTCTTCTTCTTGTCTGGCTACAGCTCAGCTTGCCTGGTATAATAAGTGGTAGTTTTGCCGCAATGCAAGAGAAACCAGAAGCATTCTCAGAATAACAATGATGTGTGAATAAACCATTATCCTGTTTCTTGCCTTTTATTATCAGGTTAGATCAAAGACCAGCCTTAATAAATAAGCAATTTTAAACTGGTTTTGGGGGACCACATTATAGGGATAGTTGTCTCAATCTTTTGCAGCAAAGACTTCTAAGAGTCTTTCTTAGGACATCTAAGAAAACTAATGGATAAGCTTTGCATTCCATTTCTGAGTACACTAGCTCATGATTACCCAGCTGCAGGGTTTACAGAATATCCTACCCCTGAACAAATAAATCATATTACAGATTAACAAGATGGCCTGGTTCATATCATATGCAAGACAAGGAAGTGGCAATATAACATTTCCTCAACAAAGACCTCCTGATCTAGCTGCTTTGTAGATTGCTTCTGCCTCAATATTCAGTAATCCCAGATTGAGTTAGCGATACAAAACACATATTACTTCTACACCTTGCAACTTTAAAGTATGTGGACTTCAACTCCCAAGATTCCCCAGTTGCATGAGGGAAATAAGCTTGGCAGCTTTAAGATGTATGGGCTTCTGGGAGCTGAAGTTCGCACATCTTTGCTAAATTTGCTAAATTTAGAAACACTGCTCTACAGTCATAATTCATTCCAGCTGTCACTCGGGCAGCTTTTATGGTATAAAAGAATTCTCTAGGCCTAGGACTGGAGCAATTATAAGTTCCATTGCCCTCTTCCCATCTCTCACCTACAGGGAGAGCAAACACTTCTATCTTAGTCATTTCTAGTCCAAAATCATTTACCAAAACCTACTTAGTCATTTCTCTTCCACAACCAATATCTTTGATGCAGTAGATGGAAATCATTGCCAACAGTTAACACGCATGGCATGTTCTCCTTTTTTTCTGAGTTCTACTTCCACATCTAGGAGACAAGATGGTTGCTGCCCAGAGCAATGGGCTCTGTGATAACTGCACAAAAACGGTGTGGAGCTTTGATTGCATTTTTGCAATCACCATCTTGCCTTTTTTTGAAGAATACCCTGTTGGGAAGAAAACTGCTTTATACAATTAAAGCATGCTTTGTTTCTGAAGTCCTGGGTTTTTTTTTACCAATTCAGAAATTATCTAATAGTAAAATCTGCATTCCTAACAATGCTTGGTGGAATAGCATTTGGCAGAGTCTAGTTTTCATCACCTGAGATTTTCTTTAAATGGGATTGAAGAAAAGCTCATTTTCAGAAACCAAGGTTCAATTCAATTCTTGGTTACTTGAGGGAATACCTCAGGCATCTGCAGGGGCTAACACCAGTGGTGGGATTCAACTGGTGTAACAACCGGTTCACTGAGCACACGTTTGGGCGTCAAATACGTGCTCTGCGTGCACAGTGCATTTGAAAACAGCTCTAAAATTTACCCCCTACTGCCCTGGTGAGTGAAACAGCTGAGGCGTGGCAATCCGCTCTGCTGCGCCTATCAGCTGGGCTTCAAACAAAGGAAATATAGGTAGGTATAGCGCAGGGGGGGGCAGGTGGGCAGGTGGGCCCAGCTGATCGTCATAGTTACCGGTTCACCTGAACCAGCCCGAACCAGCTGAATCCCACCCCTGGCTAACACTTTTGTCAAAATATAGATTTAACACTACCATCACTTCCTGCTTCTCATTTGTACAGACAATGTCATCACATGTGGACAAAAGAATAGGAACTAATGTCCCGATATTGCTTCATTCATTGCCTCTAACCTCTCTCCCCATGATGCCCAGTTAAGGATGCCAAAACTAAGGTGTTGTCACACACCCAAACGTGTGGGAAGAAATATCCATCTGGTTTAGTTCCAAGCTGGGAGGAAGACACTGGAAACATGAAGGCTGATTGGAAAGATGGTTTATTGATGAAGCAGAACCACATGGGTTTGTGGTTCTGGGCAGCTGACCAAATGGAGTTGAGAGTGGGTGGTTTTTATACCTTCTTTGGGCTTTGTATCTGAGCTTTCTGTTCCTGTGCAAGAACATATCTTTAATATTCTATTGACTTGTCAGATTCCTATGGGGTCATGTAGGGGTTATGTAAGGGTTATAGCGGGCTCTATAGGCAAAAGAGGAAATGGAAATCCTAGGTGTACGTCTGAGCTAATTTTGTCAACCTTTTATCTGAGTTTCTGTCTTGACCGAAACTTTCTGAATGGATTACCAAATCTGCATTTCTAAAAGCTGCCCTCCTTAGTTTCTCCTTGAGGCAGGGAAACAGGGGTTGGTTTCTTAATAGGCTGGCCCAATCTTTCTTAATGGGCACAAAATATCTGCTGGGGGCCATTAAGAAAGAGTGAGTCTTCTTTCTGCCTTTAGAGAAAAACATTTTTCTCCATTAGGAAAATATAATATTCTGCATTTTTAATATTTCCCAAAATATTTCATTCTTCTGGGGGGTGGGGGGGTGACTTTCTACACATATATGCCTGCATTCACACATGCATCCTTTCATGGTCCTTTTTCTCTACCAGACAGATGAACATGCTTCTGAAACTTCTGAGAAGTATCAGGTAACTATGATGATAGATCACATGATTTCCAGAGACCATAGTATTATAGGATAAGTACTGGCCAAAGATTACCTTACTAACCTTAGCTAGGCCAGGCAACTGCCTCCTTGGTATCAGGTAAGGAAGAATCTATATGTTTCCATGGAAACTAAGTAGACTGGTTGGTTCCTGATAAGAGCCGGCTTTAATGATGGTTTGCAAATCATTATAATAAAAGTCTGAAGTCCAAGTGCTGAATCAGGAAGAACTAGAAACTGGGTCTTTGGATTCTGATGAGCCGATTACATTTTTGGGGTGTTCTCTGTCCCCATGGAAAAGTGGGAACTGGGGGCTTTGATTTATTGTTGAAGCAGTCATATCAAAGCTCCACCCTTCTTAACCTATGTCAGTAACAGAGTTGGAAAGGACCTTGGAGGTAATCTAGTCCAACGCCCTGTTCCGCAGGAAACCTGTACTAGGAATTTGAACCGCTGAACTGCCAACCTTTTTGATCGGCAAGCTCAGTGTCTTAGCCACTGAGCCACCTAGTCAGGCCACCATTGTTTATAAAATGTATATGTAAACAAAACACATTGTGAAATGCAGGAAGCCTGTTTGCAAGGGAAATCAAACTTATCTAAGTGCTGCAGGGTTGGGATGTTTTCATGCTCAGAGAACTGAGAAAAGGATATGCAGGTGAAACTGCCTTCTAGATAGATAGATAGAATCTAGAATCTTCTACTTCTAATCCACAATCAAAAGGTCAGTTTCTCTCCATAGTCAACTTCGTCAGTACCCAACTTTCTTTGGCTGCAAAGCAAATCCTCTGATTCCAGTTATGCCTTAAGTGTTGTTTACTGTCTGGCCTGACTATCTAAGGAAAAGCTTCCTTCTCCATTGCAAATGGGAGACCTATATATTGATAGCCAGCTTCCCTTCTTTTTTCTGTTTCCATCCAAAGAGCTACCCAAAGTGGAGGGGAAGTGACTGATTGGCTGGCTTGTTGCCATGGTTATGGTTGCTGTGGAAATAAGGGCTGTATTCCTGCCCTTCTGTCTTAATTCTGAATTCTTCCAAGGACTTGGTCTCCCAAGGGTGGGAGAGGGGCAAATGAGAGATTATGTGGGGAGAGAGAGAGAGACAGAGAGAAAGAGACATGGCTGAGAAAGAAAGCACTTCCTGTTCCTAATGGTGCCTTGGGTCATTAGAAGAGTAAAAAGAAAAACACAATTCCTAAGTTTCCTCCTGAGAAAGGCAGGCAAACTTGGGACACAAAACTAGAAAAGTGGATTGGAGGATGGGGGAAGGCAGACAGATGATGAAAATTATAAGAAAGAGAGCCAGTTTGGTCTAGTGGTTAAAGCACTGAGCTAGAAACCAGGAAAGGATGCGTTCTAGTCTGCCTTAGGCATGAAAGCTGACTGGGTGACTTTGGGCCAGTCACTCTCAGTCCAACACATCTCGCAAGATTCTTGTTGTGGGGAAAATAGAAGGAGAAAGAAGTATGTTTGTCATGTTGAATTATTTATAATAATAAATGGGGTATAAATAAATAAATAAATAAATAAATAAATAAATAAATAAATAAATAAATAAATAAAAAAGGTGTCAGAGGTCAGAATTCCTACAGTGGGATGGATAGCTCAGATATGCCCCCCATATTCCATTTATATAGCTCTCAACAGGATTAAAAATTGCCAGCCCTCAACAGCATTACTTCCCACTGAATGGGACGTAAATTTATTTTTCTGCCCAATTCCAACCTTTCCTCAAGAGTTAAAGCAGGGATGGGAAGAACCCTATGCTTCCCTTTCTGAAAACAATCAGTTTGGTTCAACTGTCCTCCTTGTGACTCTCCTGTATTTCTCCTCCATGCCCTGAATAATTGCCCTTTCTGATGGCAGCCTCACCCTTCGGGCCTGACTGTCAATCTGGATTAGCCTATTACATACTGATGCCATGTCAGACAGCAGCATGTCAGCAACAGGAATGACAGAGAAGTGCCTCAAGAAAAAAACCTCTCCTCTTGTGCTTCTATTGAAAAAAGTACAACTAAATATTTGGAAAGAAGCATCCACATGCTCTTTATGGACTGAATCATCTGTACCCAGGTTGCATATTAAAATGGGTTGTCTTTGCTATGTACCCAGGGAAATGAGCTCCGTGTCCTTCAAAAGTTACAACCCTTAGCATTTGATTGCATTTTGGAAGGCTCAAAGCATTTTACTGAGTTCTGCAGAAATTCTCAAACTTTTCTAATACCATTATCCCCTAAATGATAAGTACATTTGGTGGGCCTCATTCATATATAAAACTAAATAAATAATGGAGTCATAAATAATGGAAAGGCTATGTTTGGCAAATGGTTTTGACAGATAACTATACTCGGGGGCTTAGCCATCTTTCAATACCTGCTGGGGCTCTTTGCCTGATGAAGTTCTCTGAAAGCTTGGCCAGACAAACCTGTGACAAGTTTTAACAATGCTCCTGTTTTGTTGTGCATGTATGTGTGTAAAGCAGAAATATACAATAGTCAAATCTCCTTTGAGGTTTGCTTATCAATTTGCACTATCAAAACTTACTTCACTACTCATTTTATCATGGGTAGGTTTAACCTTCCCTTAATGGGCTTTGCTTACCATTTTGCTTGGGTGAACCAGTTATCAATTGATCCAGGTAAAGCAGGGAGCAAGGTGGCAGTGACTTCTGACAGCTCTTCAGTTTTGTAAAGACAGCTTTGTACCAATTTCTTTAAATCCTTTTTAAACATGACATGTAAGATTAAAGGTGAGTTCATCTTATTTTGCTTAACCAAATTGTAAATAAACAATTTGGCATTGAAATCATTGAGTTTTAACAATAATGCCAAAATCTTTGAGACCCAGGAAAAAGTATCTGACTTCCTTATCTCCTTGGTTGGCCCCATCTCCTCTCTCTCTCTGAGTTTCCTGATGCTATTGGTCGGTAGCAATTACAACATCTGGCCCACACAAGAAATTTGCTGCTCTTTATGCTGTAGAAGGTCCTTTAGATCAGGGTGTACACCAGCATGCTGACTGGGAATTCTGGGTATTAAAGTCCACACATCTTAGAGTGGCCAAGGTTGAGAAAAGCTTGAGAACCAGAGATCTTGACTTGTAGCTACACAGAGGGGTTCCCAACAGACTGATGGGGCATAAATGGAAAAAAAAAAGTTGCCTGATCTTACAATTGTCTGTTCCAATAGGCAAAGATGCATTACCAGGAAGAAGAAAAAACAGATACTGGCCTATCAGCTCTCTTCACCAGTGGCTCTCCTGACAGGTTGGGGCAATTCATCTTCCCTAATAAAAGCCTGCCTTAAGAAGTGAGGTGATGTCGTTGAGCCAGAGGGTGACAGGAGCACAGTGGCTGCTGCAAAGGGAAGCTGGAGGTCCCTCAGCAACAGTTTGACCCCTGGATAATATTCCTCTGACATTAGCAGCATTTCCACGGCTGCTTCTGGTCAAATAAAAGACCAGGCTGTGCGCGTTTTTACTATATCTGCCAAGGGCTCACAGGTAAGACATAGTGTTCATCCTGTCCTGGGCTCTGGAAGAAATGGCACTGACAGAATTTATTTTGGGCATTATTTCCCATTTTGTCTGGACATGCTGAATTTCCCAGGCAAAGCTGGAATAAGTTTTGCCAATGTTCCAGCTCTGAATGCACAAGCTCCAAAACACACAAAGATGTTTACAACTCCCCAGGGGCATGACCCAGTTTGAGAGCCTTTGCTATAAAGTAGCTCAGACCATTATCAGTTCTTCCATACTACAGATGGTATAATGAGGCCAAAAGAGAATGGCTTGTTTATCATTGGCCAGAGAAAGCCTAGCAGGAGTTAAGGAATTATTGGTTGTAGCCTACGTAGGCTCTTTGTTACTATTTTGTAATTGGTTAGGAGTATAAATATTTTCATGCATTCCTATAAGCCAACAGTTTCCAAATTTGTGTCCTTGTTAGTATTATGATTGTGCAAGTTAGAAGTTTTGCGAGTTGTAGTTTAGCAGAATCCCACCCCCAATATGAGAAGTTCATCTAGGCCAGGGCTGTTAAACTCCTGGCCCATGTACCGGATGCGTCACACCTAGCCAAGTCCATGTCCGGTTTAGCAAAGGGGGGGAAAGTCCTGATATGTCATGTGATGACGACATGATGACATGAGTTTGACACCCCAGATCTAGGCAATGAACTTCAATATATTGTTGAAGTCACATCTTTACTCAGCTAAGAAACGTACAAGGGCCGTTCAAGCAGTGACTTACTGAGTTTGTCCAACATATTTAACCATGTTTTGCTTTAACCAGGTTTATTGAATACTGCAAATTTACTAAGTTTATTAAATTTACACATTATGTTCAACCAGACATCATGCTTTACAAATCATGATAGCTGATTATATTGGATAAATGTAAGATAAAAGGTATCAAGCCATGCTTAATATCGGTAATAATACATTATAAAGCCATTTTGCACATTGCATAATGCAATGTGCAAAATCAGCCAATAGGTGTTTTCATTAACCAGTGCTTTGATAAAATAGCTATAACAAGCCTCTTGAGGTGTGTGATATTTTAGATTAAAAATGATGGCTTATGCTAAGCAGGCATATGCTATTGTCTCACACACACACACACACACACACACACACACACACACACATATACAAAGTGGTTGGCCTATGGGAATGTAACTGATCACAGTGCCGCCTTTCCCAGTCACCCTGCTTTCTATTAATTGCTGTCCTCTGGGTGTCATAAAGCACAGGGCTTTGGGAAATGGTGAAATAAAAGTAAGACCTTATGCTGTAAATCAGCAGAAAGCTCAAGGGCAGTTGCTGTACTCAGCAAATCACACAAAAAGGGACAGCAAAATGGGCATCAGGAGAAATATTTCTGATGAGGCCCAGCATGCTGACAAATGATGGAATGCATGCCTACGTCTTTAAAGTTGGATTCTCCCCCAAAATATGTGTTTTGTATACTGAAAAGACCCCAAAACCCATTCGGGTCAGGCAGGATAGGATTGCTGTAGGTTCTATCAGCCAAGGAACATTAGTTGGCGGAAGCAGAAGACATGCCTTCTCTGTCATAGCCCCTGCCCTCTGGAATATTCTCCCTTCAGATATTTAATTTAATTAATTCAATTTATATGCCGCCCCTCTCCGATGACCCCAAGCCTGTCGGCCATTAGTAAGGCTGTGAAGACTTGGTTGTGTGCCTGGGCCTGAGGCGCTGTGTGTGTTAAGTGCCCCTTTTCCTGGCTTTATGAACACCCACAGTAACAGCTTTACTTGGTGCCATATATATTTATTTTTTACTCTTTGAATTGTTTCAATAATTTCAATTGTTTTTATTAATTGGTCTTGTTCAAGAGACCGACCGACAACTAAAATCAATTTTTTTTTTCTAAAACACCATCAACCCATGTGGGATTCTACAAAAGGACCCCACCCCCAAAGTGTGGTGGTGGTGGTGGGATAAGGGACAGGATTTCTTTTTTTGATGATTTCTTTAAAAGGCTAATTTTCACCCCAATGAACACAGGACATAGATCAGATGTTACTGGGACAAGTAAGGACAAGAGAGGCTGGAGCTGCAGTTCAATAGACCGAATGCCTGTCTATTCTCAGTTTTATGGAATAAGAAAGCAGGGAAGAAGAAAGAATTAAAGAGGGCAACAAGGTATGATGCCAATGAGTGCAAAGTAAGAAATGTGTAAAACAAGCACAGGCCCTGGCTTCTGGAGTTCATAAAAATAAAAGATGCTTTATTCAAAAGTGGCTTTGGGTGTCTTCAAGTATATATTTAATATTCATTTTCTCTGTGACAACTGCATGCCTGAAAACTATAAAGAAGGCTGATTACAATCTGGTTGCAAAGATTGGGTGCAAAGCCATAAAGGGATTTGCCTGGTTTTTAACCTATTGTGCGATTCCATCCACTAGTAATCCAAGGTTTTATATAGCTTATTATGATGTGTGAGCTTATCCTTTGTTGTGGATAGATACGATAGATAGATAGATAGATAGATAGATAGATAGATAGATAGATAGATAGATAGATAGATAGATAGGCAGGCACGCAGGCAGGCAGGCAGGCAGGCAGGCAGACCAACCGATGGGGTGGTGGTGGTAGATAGATTGAATATAGATATATGAACATTCACATGACTTGTGTATGCACTTATGTATTATTGTGAGGCATTCTGCACCAGGTTCAGGCATGTGAATTAATAACATGCTCTTCTGAATTGGGATTTTTTTAGCACATGATTTTTTTTGGGTGGGGGGTGGGGGGCTTAACATTATGAATATTAAAGAAGTATATATTTTCTGGAAGTTTGGAAATAATACAATTTATTAAACAACATTGTAGTCCAATGGTATATAGGATAATCAAATAATAAACAGTTAAAATGTTTAGGATTGCAGCATAAAGAAAAATTGAGGTTAGCTGCAAGGCAATCAAATAAGCAGCATTTAATCAATAGTGAATTTAATTATCTAATTCAAGGAGAAAAAGTCAAGGAGTATAGAGAATAATGCATTCAGCTCAATAAGATAAAGATGAAGCAAGACTTTTCCAAAAGTCTTCCATTTTACACAGGGTTCAGCTACAGAAGATAAAAGTAATATAGAGACTCTTACCAAAAGACAGAAAGTTACGATTTTGCCTGCCATAGCAAAGAGGCAGAGAAATGAGGTAGCATTCACACAGACTCATACATGTACAAAAGGATAACACATGGCATAGACACTACTCTACTTGGAAATGGTGATTAAAATAGAGAAAATAAGGGATCCCTATCGATCATTGCTTTTCTGGTACAGGTAGTCCTCAACTTATGACCACAATTGGAACTGAAACTTCCATCACTAAACGTTGCAGACATTAAGTGAGTAGACCCTGATTTTATGATGTTTTTGGCTGGGTCTGTCCATCATAGTTCTCCTAGACTGGCAAGTCAGATAATTTAGATTCTAGAAGATTAGTATTGGTAAGTATATTGTTATTTTGTGTGATTCTGAATCCAACTGGTCAGATCAAGCTGGCTGGTCCCTCCAGTTTGTGATACTCCTACTTAGCAGGATTGAGCTGGGGACCCAGAAATATTGTTTTTAAAGTCTAACTAGCCAACTGGAACCCATATTGAAAGGTTTAAGTTAAACTCCTGTAAGCACTCAAACTTTAATTCCATGCCTATCACTTATTAATCTAGTTTGTGTCCAAGGCATGTCAATCACCTCTATAGGTTTTGGTTCCTTGGCCCTGATTTTTTCCCATCCAATACCACAGTGGCTTCTTCCACTTTCGTATCACCTACAGATCTACTTCTCAAAGCTTTCAATAATGATAGCATTAGATTTGCCACTGAAGGAACACATCAGGACTTACATTTAACCAGCCCATATACTCTAAAAATCAGCACCAGATTCAGATAGTTCAAGAGACTCAGTTGCTATTGGAGACAGCCTTCCCATACAGCCAAAGTTTGCAGGCTATACACTTTACGGTGATCTCTACCATTCAGAAAGTCTCACAAAGAGACTTTGATTTGCCAGAAGAATATTTTTGGAAAGACAGAGTCTTTGTGTACTTACAGTCTTCCAGCTCTTGACTGGGAAAAAGCACATCATCTTTTCATCACCAAAAAAATGCACATAGGGCTCCACAAATGTCACATGGATTAGATGAGCCAACAATGCCTCTCACAGGAAGAGAGATCTATTCACTTAGAGGCTTTGCAGGAGTCAGGAAGATTACACAGAAATCAGGCCTTCCACGAAACAGTTACAGGCTCCCAGATACTTTTCCTAGTTCTTAAATATGGCCTAAGTAGTCAAATGCCCTCAAATGATTCTGACCTCCAAGCCTAAACTTTTCCTCTCTTTCTGAAAGAGATAGTTTTGTTAATCAGGACTTACCTATTAGGAAATAAATATATTTCTTCAGATGTAGCTTTCTGCAAGTGGGAGTGTAATAGACTTCATGAGGGGATACCATTTCCTCTCTGTTTCATTTCTCCAAATCCATCATTAGAGGATTTTTCTTTGCTATGCGGGCTGGTTGAGAAAACAGAGGTCAAACTTATGTAGTAACCTGAAACCAAACATGCCATATCCAGCTTAGTCTATACAGTGTTTCTCAACCATTTGTGTAGACTTCAATTCCCAGAATTTTCCAGCAAGAATTCAGGCATCTTAAAATTGCCAAGGTTGAGAAACATTGGTTTAGTATATTAACCCAACCACACTATATCCTATAGGATGCATAGAACAAAGAAAAGATACCTCACTTAATCTATGCAATCTATGTCCAAAGGCACAATAAATTTCTCCCATGGTCAGTGCTATGAGTTCTTGGAGTCTGTGTGTAGAGATGCTGCATTTCTAGTTGTTGCTTTTTTTCTCCTCCAGTATTTTCATCAGAGAAATGAGAATACTTTCCACAGTGTGGTGTTAGCAATAGCTTGTTCCATAGAGCAAAGATACCTAGGTGATTTCCCAATGCACCATCAAACTGCAGCATGTGGTGCCAGCACAGATGGTTCTCTTCAGTGTAACAGACACGCACACACACATGTACGCGCACACACAAACACCAATCAGAACTGTTATAGTAATTCTGGCCAATCTTATTAGCAGGGAGTGTTTATCTTACAGCAGTGGGGAGGAAAGTAGAACACCAAATGCCATACTGAGCATTTAATTCAGATCTTTGAGGATCCCAATGTCCTTTCTTTCAGGAATTGTCTAGCATTAATTGACAGACAAGTGCATAAATTCAATTTCTTGAAATTTCAAGTTTTAAACACCTGAATGAACAAGATATTACATTAAGCAAAACCACAATATTCTGCAGTGATCCACAATTTAATTCTTTATGCAATACAATGAGGATTTTTAAATGCAAAATTTTTAAAAATAAGATAAAGTATTTTAATTTGGTCAACGGATTTACCGGCTTGATATTTATTTGGATTTCCTAGTAAGCTTAGCTTTGGTTTATAGAAGAAGTGATTAGACTGACACAATGGCAAGTTATAAACTACAGTTTACAAATTACAGTAGTTAGGGTCAAAGCCTAAACCAACAAAACAACATTATATGTAGTAATGTGTATAAGATCAATCCTATACATATTATCATGGGGTGTATTTCTTCTTGACTATAACGGAGCAACAATGGAAACATGGTGAAATGTCACAAACTTCACATCTTACACATACTGTGCTGATTTCTCTGGGTTGCAATAGTTTAGCCACCACTAAATGGCAACAAAGAGATACAGAAACTCAATTGACTATCTAGTGGTGGTCCAAATTTTTGAAGTTCAGATATGGCAATTCTACCTCTGACCCAAGATGTGTAAAAAAAATCCAGACAACCAGGAGATGGCAGCAAAAAAATACAGTTGCGTGGTTTTTGCTGCCACTTGAATTTTTGCAGCCTAGAAAATCAGAATTTTTGTGCAAAAGGTAGCTTCAATAGACAGAATAACTGCAGAACCGGAATCCTGATCACATAACTAAATACATTTCAAATGATTTAATTCTAATAAAAATAAATGGCACTTAACATTTTTTTAAAAAAGCAGCAACTAAATAAAACTGAGTGTTAAGCACCCCATTATAATTGGTCAGAATGCTAAATGATGTTTTTATTACCTAGTTTCAATTGTTAGTCATTGATAAGCCATAATATAATTTATTTAGTTTGACTTAGCTGTTAAATCATCCACTATCATTTGTAAGTCATGGGAAATAGATGAGTACATGTGATCATCCCATTTTTTATTTTATTTTAAGCAGGCAGAGGGGAAAAAAGGCAAAATGAATTTCAGAAGAGTAAGCTATGCCTCATATAATGAGAAAGAACAATATATTTTCTCTTGAAAAGTAGAACATACTATACTGTATTTCATCTGTAACCATGCTGCCACCCTAGGCATACTCTCCCTAGTCCTATTTATTTTTATGGCAGTAAGTTTTAAGGAAACAGGTTTAGAATTTTGATTCCTGTTTTAAACTCCCAACTTACGATTCTGTATAATTATAATTTGGGTTCAGACAGCACAGCTTCTTTAAGAAATCATAGAGATCCACCAATTGGCACAGCCAGTTCTTTTCAGACAATGCTAACCATTCCCATTTTGGCATCTCCATTATTAAACCACCGCTCCCACTGCCCAGTCAGGGGGAGCACTGGCAGGGGATTATGGGAGTTACCTCTCTAGATGATGCCAAGTTGAGGAAGGCTGAGCTGGGTCTGACAAACTGAAGCCTATGTAGTTTTCCTCCCGTCACCTGATAGCAGAAAGAAGCAAGCTGCTGTGCTGCTAAAAGGCTGCCATTGGGGTAAGGGGTGCCTAGTGGGCAAGGAAAGGGACCCCTTCTTCCCTAGGCCGAGGGGGCGGAAGATGCTCCATGTTCTTTTTGATTTGCTGACCGTGGGCGTGTGCTTTAAAGAGCAACGTCCAGCAAAAGGAAGGTTGGGATGAAATACGGTCATCTTGCTAAATCCTGCCCATAAAAGGACGCCGCCTTCTAGACAAGTTCTAAAGTTCGCCACCGCGTTGCCTATCTGAATACATCGCGACAATACTGCACCCTCCTGGCTCCCGTCCTTCCGCTTGCGAGCCTCCCAGAATAGCCTTGGGCGAACGAGAGGTGCCCTTCTCCCCGCCCCCCAACCTGAAAGCCACGAAACGGCACGGGAGCCGCTGGGTGTGCCGGTGCATGCATCCTTTATCCCTCTGCACACAGATTGTGCAGGGACCACATACTCTGCTGCCGCCGCTACCACCTTGCTGCTTTGCCTGGCTACCGGGGCTCTCTCTCTCCCTCCCGCCGCCAGCCTTTGCGGTGCCGCCCCCCGACCCACCGCATCTAGTTCGGCGAAGGGGCTGCCGCAGCTCCCTCGCTCGTATCTCCACCGCCCCCTTCGCCCCTCCTCCATCCCTTCTTTCTGCGGGCGCCCTCTAGTGATCTGACTTCAGCTTCCACCACCAGCTTCCTCGGCCAGCCGGCAAGGGAGGCAACAGTCGCGGAGCACAACCAGCCGATTGTCCTTCGCCCAGAGTCGGCTTCTCCAGCGTCTGTCTTCTGCAGGTAAGGAACAGGCAATATGGGCAGACAGAAGAGCGACTGCTGCCGCTGCTGCTGCGCCTTCCGACTGAGCAGGGAGGCTGCTGCTGGATGTGATCGGAGCTGAAGGGGAAAAGGGAGGAAAAGTGGGGGCTTGGTTGCATATGGGTGAAGGCGGGTGACGGAGGGGCTTCTCCGCCATGGAGAGAAAGGGAAAAAGGTGCAGGAGGGGAGAAGTGATACGGGTTCGGTGGGTGGAAAGAGGAGATCTTGGTGGGGGGGGGGGGGGGGGAGGAAAGGGGGATGGAGTTGGTGAAGGGGGCTGTCATGGCATGCAGGTGGACCTGGGAAGGAGGAGCTGAGGCATGCGATAGGGTGCAGATGGAAAATCGGGGTGGAGGTCGGGATCCAGGCCCGGGAGGCAGGCACTGGTGGGGCCCTAGTATGAGTCCAGAGTGAGGTGGGAAAAATGAGAAGGGAAGGTCCCGAGGATAGAGAAGCAAAAGAAATCAAGGTGGAACAGAGAGATCGAGGATATGCATGGGATGCAATAGAACGAAGGGAACAAGTTTGGGGGGCAGCAGGTGTTTTAATTTGCATTTTGAAGGGAGGGGGTCATGCACAGCAGCTGCATCCATTCAGAGACTGGGGCCCTTCTGCTGGCAAGAAAGAAGAGGCCAGGTATGAGGGCAGCATATTTTTGACTCTCTGGGGTTCCCTCATCCACACACCCTTGCCTGGCGGAGGGTGTAATTAGGAGGCGGCTGGCAGGGCTCAGCACGTCAGGGCGCAGACAATGGGCCAGCCTCCCGGGGCGGCTGTTGTGCCAACACGCTGCTAATGTGATTAGGGGCACATATCGCAGCCAGCACCGGCCTCCTGTGTGCCAGTGAGCGTGCAAGAGGAGGGGAGGCAACAGCTTGGAAAGAGAGATGGGCGGGGGGGGGGGGGAACATCACCAGAGAAGGCTGTGCCTCTTGGCAAATGAAAGCCTTGAGGATTTTGGAAAGAATGAGGTATCTTCCAAGGGGAATGAATGAACCCCGAAGGGAAAGGGCATGCTGTGTGTGCGCAGACTTGCTGATATGGCTCAGCATGGCATAGGCAGATGGGCTGATTCTGTAACAGGCATAGAACAGTACAATACATATTAATATTCTATACTTACCAGGTGATCACATTTCCCTCTGACATTGGGCATGAAACTTGTCTATCAACAACCTTTCCAGTGGAAGGTTTGTAACACCATTGTGTTTCACATTTGGTTTGTGTACACATTAAAAGTGCAAGTGTGATAGAACAGCTGTTATTTCTGCGTGAAATAAATAGAATTCTAGTAACACCCTTTGTGCGTGAGGGTTACGGTACCTCAGCTCAGCTCTGTCCCACCTCAGCTAAAAGATATGCAAAAATTAAATGTATGCAGATAAGTGAGTGCATTCCAGGCATCATGTATTTGGGTACAGGTAGCAAAAAATAAAGTTTATTCCATAATAATTTTTTAATTCAACTTTAGTGGGGAAAAAATGGGCTGCGAATATGACAGTGATGCACCTACAGAACATAATTTATCATGCATTCCTCATGCTGAGGAAATATAAGTTTCTGTACCAAACAATATCTTGTTGGAAATTTATCACATATTAATATAATATTACCATTATGTGTGGACTGCTATCCTTTTTAGGTTGGTATGCAAATATTTTTTTTTCTCTCTTTCAATTATGATGATTCTTGGATACTGCCTCGGTAAGTCTCTACAGTTTTCTTAACAAGGTGTTCAGAAATGGTTTGCCATTGTCTCCTTCCTAGAGCTGAGAGAAAGTGACTGGCCCAAGGTGATTCAGCTGACTTCCTGTGCAAGGTGGGTCTAGAACTCAGGCTCTCCCGATTTTTAGCATGCCTTAGCCACTAAACTGAGTTAGCTGTCTCAGAATATGCAAATATATCTTTGTACATGTGTGTGGATAAGTTGCGTGATGTGCCAGCCTGAGGAAAATAAGGCATGACTTCCACTAACATTTCCTGATAGTATATCACATCTACACAAATGTGTGGAAGAGGATCAGGCCTACCTTGGTGTGTGTGTGTGTGTGTGTGTATTTGCTTGCTTCCCTCTTAAAAAAACAAGGCTTTCTGAAGAAGTCAAGAAATGTTTTTTAGTCAAAGAAACCTTATTATTCTTCCCCCCTAATTTAATTTTTAATCTTAGCCACTTTAAGGGAGCCTTCTGCCAGGTCCAAGTCCAGTGATGACACTCTGAAGTCCAGTCAAATCCAATCCTTTATTTGCCTACACCTAATAGACAAAATCTTGACAAACTAAAGCTATAGCCTTCAAACCTACTAGATATATCCTGAGAGATTCTAAAGCAGTGGTCCCTGGCCTTTCCAGCTCCACAGATCAGGGGCAGCGATGTGTGTGTGTTTCCCATGTGCAACATAATCCTGAACATGCGCAAATGAACCTTCGCATACTTGCCCGCTGCTTGCGCGGCCCGGTTCCCAAAGGGCCATGGCCCAGGAGTTTGGGACTCCTTTTCTAGAGCCCTCATCCAATTTGGGACTGCGGAGTCTCTTAATTTAGGCCTCTCTCTAGGAGAGCATTGTGTTGCAAAAACTTCCCCGCTGGTCCTGCAAGTACAGATTCCCTTACTCTTTCTGCAGTTTGGCCTCTGCAGCTGTTGAACTACTATTACCCTCATCCCGTGTGCCTTGCTGATTATGAGATGATAGGATTATCAGTTTCTCCCATCTTTAAACACTGAGCGTTTGCTTTATCCATTAAGCCTTACTTCCACTTTTCCTTCTTTCCAAAAATTCTGAGATTCCTGGCTCCAAATCTACTCAACTCTGAAAGTATTTAGTGTCTTTTAAGAACTGCCCCCTGCAATTTTTGTTAAATGATTTGAATGGGCACTCTGCAGAAATTAGAAGGAAGGTTACAGTGGCCCCATCACTTATCTCAAACTCTGCCCTAACTTTCAATTTGGTCTAGTGATTGAGGCCCCAGGCTAGAAATCAGGAGACTGTGAGTTCAAATCTTGCCTTAGTCATGAAAGCCACTTGGGTGGTTTTGGGTCAGTAACTCTATCTCAGCCCAACCCACCTCACAGAGTTGTTGTGGGGAAAATAGGAATAAGTGTTTGATATATTCACTACCTTATTTGTAAAAATAAATAATAAAGGTGAGATATAAAGAAATAAAATAAAAACAAAGAGGCCAGTTAATAAAATACCTTCCTTTAGGGTTATAGAAAAACTTTGCAGGATGGAGATAGTATTCCTCATATTGGCAGCAACAAGGCTTCTTATCGACCTGACATGGCTGTGGATGCAACAGGGCTGGGTCATGTTACTTGCAGATGGCAGCGCAGAAAGACAGGCAGGCAACTGCAAGTTGGGAGGGAAGAAGGCAGGAATTCCTAGTTACCTGGGTAGGATTGGGACCTGGTGAGTTATTTATGGATTTATCAAACAGATTTATATGACTCTCTGTCTATCCAAAGGAACTCTGGATAATGAACAAGAATAAGAACACAATACAATTATTTAAAAAATAATTAAAGAAAAAGAAAAATAGCATTGAGGCCTGATACAACTCATATTTATAAATCAACTACACCATGCCAGCTAATTTCTGCCTCGGTAGCTTTTGGTCTTGAGGGATGCAATATCCAGTTCAGTCGCTGTGGTGTACAGCTTTTAGCCACTCTGTTAAGACAGAATGTTGCCTGGGATATAACCATCATGGAGGTAATATACACTTTGTACCCCAATGAGATGTGACTGTGGTGCACCGGAACAACACGTATAGTTCAAGAATGTCTCCTCAGGAAATTTCAAGGTACCTGGAATGATTTCCTCGCAGCCACATCAGAAGCAGTCAGATGGTTAGCTTCCTTAGATAACAAATGATAATATTGAGCCCACTGCAATTGTATGGCTCCATATTATGGTGATTTCATTATGGTTTTATCTTAATTTAATATTTTATATACTGTATTCATATGTATGTGTGTGTTTGCTGATAGTTTATTTAAACAGTAATATGTAAAACAAACAAACAAATGAACAAACAAACAAACAAACAAACAAATAAATAAATAACCATGCCAGCTCTGTTAACATCTTGGCCCTAGGGCTTGGAGCGGGGAGGGGGGCGCCACAGAGTTATAGTGAGGGCTACACAGTGATGGAATTGCTGGTACTGCAAGAACAGCCAACAGGCCAGATGGTAACACAGAACTAGATGTTGGTCAATTTATGTCTGACAGAACTTTGTAAAAAGAGGATAGTGCATATTACATGCTGCAAAATCTGGCAATGGGGAGGGGGCTATTCAGCCCATCTTGCTGAATGAGACCCTGCATTTCTGCTTGAATCGCACCTTTAATGACAAGGATGATGGGCCCCTGAGGCCTCAGCATACGATTTTAGGTCTACATCAGGCTGCTGGGTGCAGGCCCAAACCCTTTTTTGTGGCTGGCAGAAATTCTGATCTCAGTTATAGAAAGTTGATGGTGTTTTTTGCTGCCATTTTTAAATTAAAAACAAAGTGTATCATAAATTTCAAAATATACTTTAGTTAATTGTTTAATTACCCAAAACTCCTCTCAAAGCAAAACCCTTGCAAAAATCCTGGTTAAACACACTTTGTGTTACTTTCCTACTCAATTCTACCACCACCCATTCTGTAATGGGCAAGTCTTAGCCACCCAAAGGTTTCCTAGTCTTGATCTATAATAGTGAAGGCAGGGTGTCTGGGTCCACAGTGGAGAATGCAGCTCATTAAAGATTAGAAATAGTGGTTGATTAATATCTAGGCGATCAAACCGGTCAGTCCTAGAGGAGATCAACCCTGACTGCTCTTCAGAAGGCCAGATCCTGATGATGAAACTGAAATACTTTGGCCACCTAATGAGAAGGAAGGACTCACTAGAGAAGAGCCTAATGCTGGCAAAGATTGAGGGCAAAAGAAGAAAGGGACGACAGAGAATGAGGTGGCTGGATGGAGTCATTGAA